GTTGTCACATCTGATCAAACATAATACACACACATGACGTCACTAGTGCATCAAAATATAGGTCATTATACACCGACTGATTTTTGTGTCCCGGGACTATTTTCCGGAGCATTTATATCGAAATATACCCTCCCCAAACACGGACGAACACCTCTGTCTATGTTCTCAGTAGTGGAACCATGACAACAATCATGTCCTAAAGCTAAACGCAGTTGAGAAACAATTATGGAATATTTGATAGTATATACCATGTTAGAAGATCCCGTGACCTCTCTAAAGAAAAACTTAACACGTTCCTCTTCGCGGAGGCTCATACATGAGCGTGTCATGTGATAGGCGTTGGTTTGCATATAATATCGGCACGTCCGTCAACAGAAAGTATATATAGGGACAGAAGACAACATTTTCTGATATACACCCCTTGGTATATACACACCTGGTAAGATTTTCCACTTTTTACAGATTTCTTTACATGCTGTTGGGAAATTCAACAACGATGCATAACACGCGTCTGACCTAACTGCTCGCACAAGTATAGACATGTTTTAGTCTGATCTGTATATTACTTAGACTACCTGCTGAAAACTGACAACATATTTAGGAACTTGCACTACGCAAGCATGTATGGGAAAATTGATTTGAGAATAGGGTCGAATCAGTTTCCGCCAAGATGATGATATTGTAACAATAACATTAGGCCTGTCAATAATATACGGTGTCCATCTCCTGCTTGGTGGCTTCAAAGTGGCTGTGTTGTACAACCAGTATCTACTAGGCCTGTGGGCACCTTACGTGTGGTCATCTTTGTGCTGGTCCCTGAAAGTGATGGAAGAATATCATTATGGTTTGGAATGTTGAAACATAGGTTGTCTGTATAGAAATCATACCAGTTTTACAGTTTACATTGCGGTTTAACTCAACAACATCGAGTCCCCATTTAAACTTTGTGCATCACCACATCATGCTATCAATGTATTCTTCCTTATCATGTTCGTGAACACCTGGTGTCATCTCTGTCAGTGGTCCTTCATATAACTTTCACCGTTGTGCTGCCCTGTACAGCATAATGCATGCGTATTGTCTGACAATCGGGACTGGTTAATGTCTGGTGTTGACGTGTAATACCTTCCCGGTTGCCGATCGCAGACTCACCACAACGGTTCCTGTAGTAAGACCCCCTCAGTAAGCATCATATGTTCATGATTTATTGAGAAATTGTAACGTGTCTCTTGGGAACGCCGATGACGCTGCCTCACCGTTTGATCTAACGTGTAATTACAACAGACTGCACTGGTTCAAACCAGCGTTAATGGTAAGCATTTTGCTGTCAGTGACCACAAATCCAACCCTTGACATTCTGAATTCTAAACTGCGGGGACCGCAAAGAGATAATCTGTGTTTGACTTGCGAACCATTACCGTGCGTGTGAGAAACAACGACACGTCGGACAGCTGCATCCGCCATCATCTCTCATTTCAATTTATAAATGTGTTTTAACATGTGCGTGACATTGCTTGACAAGGATGTGTGCGAATGTTTTTCGTTTGAAACTCGGTTGACAGAGCGTGATGCATGTTCCGAGGTGTTGAAGTCATTGTCGGATTGTAAGACGTTAACGCTGTTTCTGGTGTGAATTAAGGATGTGACCTTGGACTAATTAAGAGCCTGGTGACTTCATGAGATTTAGACAAAATGGGAAGTTGTGTGTTGGGCCATTGTTTTCTGTAGCAGCCGATGGAGTTAATGGACGGATAGTCCTCCGTGCATGCGTATTGCTGTTTATAATGACATCTCTGACGCAGTGAAGTGTTGTTCACGTTGATATGTGTTCACAGATATACTGTAAGTAACTTGCATCGACCAGTTTATGCAAAGAATATAACAAATGTGTGATTTACTCTTAATATATAAAATACGTGTGGCTCTTTAAGACAATTGTACAAGACATTTGTAAATGCATGTTAATGTGGAACAAATTATATATAGTTTGCATTCAAAACGTCAGTGCCAGAGAATCGAATCACAAGAACCTGCGGAAATTCCAGTGGGTGAAAATGACACAAACGGGTCACCAAAAACTCCGTGATGACGCCAAGTGCTCGCGTATAGGATAAACACGGGTCACCAAAACTCCGTGATGACGCCAAGTGCTCGCGTATAGGATAAACACGGGTCACCAAAAGCTCAGTGATGACGCCAAGTGCTCGCGTATAGGATAAACACGGGTCACCAAAAACTCCGTGATGACGACGCCAAGTGCTCGCGTATAGGATAAACACGGGTCACCAAAAGCTCAGTGATGACGCCAAGTGCTCGCGTATAGGATAAACACGGGTCACCAAAAGCTCAGTGATGACGCCAAGTGCTCGCGTATAGGATAAACACGGGTCACCAAAACTCCGTGATGACGCCAAGTGCTCGCGTATAGGGTAAACACGGGTCACCAAAACTCCGTGATGACGCCAAGTGCTCGTGAATAGGGTAAACACGGGTCACTAAAAACTCCGTGATGACGCCAAGGGCTCGTGTATAGGGTAAACACGGTAACACCCACTGAAGGCTCATGCAACAATTAACATATGTTTGTTGATTAAAGCTGCACCCAGCAGAAGCATGTCATATTCATGTTTATAATTGTATTTTTACATACATGCCTGAACAGATGTGATATGTTTCCAATTTGTTTGAAGAATTATCATGCAAGAATGAAGAATTCTTCAAACTTATGTATCAAAATACTCATAGATTACATGCTGCACATGTGGCTGGCTTGTTTCCAATGCCAGATTATGATCCTTGGTCAGTCAGCACCATGTCTGTTGAAGGTTTGTGTTACCAAAGTGGTTGATCTGCACCACTCCGGGGATTCGTCACACGTTATGTGGACTGTCGGGTGAGTATTGATTTAGTTCGGATCCTGCCCGCACCGAGGCCTCACTGAAACTTTAATTTCCGGGCAGTTCTCTCTGCATTTACAATGGACATTCGGCCATTAATCAAGACATTTGCTAATACGGACATTATATCTCATACAACCCAAACTATACTTTTTTTTATCTTAGTCATGGTACAATGTACGTCAACCATCAACTACGGAAAGGTTATCGCCACACCTTTTTTAAAATAAAAAAGATAGGTCTGACATCCTGCTTTGGCAAACACATTTCAGGATGAAACCTTGCTTCTTGAAATACCACACAGTATGCATGAACTGTGTACACAACCTGACCTGAGTCACCGCACACGTGTTACTTCTGGTAGTTCCGGGTTTACGTAAGATGAAAGCTGAGTGAACCTCTGTATTCAGCTTCGCTCTTCACAACAACGTGCTGAAATTGGCAAGCGCCCTTTTGACACATTAAAGTCTTAACAGTGTTGATTCCCATTTTATGAACATCGAATAATAGCGCCTCTCCTTTACCACCATATAGCTGGAATATTGCTGAGTGAGGCGTTATACAAGAAACCAACCAACCTTTCCTTTACCTACGTAGCCACAACCACAATAATAGACACATAGGTTTACGTTTTATCAATCAATTACAGGTACATCTATCTCAGAGGCATACTATGAACAAACGTTACACACATACTTTGTACATTTACGTTATTAGCTGATGTACATGGTGTCTAGCATTGTCATTATGAAGACATTTCAGTTAGATAATTCCTATGTTTCTGTAAACATCATTTTTCATGTTTGAACACTTCCATTGAGATGAACAATGTTTACGGGCACTTCACAAACAGTAAATCACCTGTGGTTTCTAACACAGGTGTACGATAACAAGCTCTGTTGGATGTTATCCACTTGGGGGGCACTAGTGAGAGGCCTCATATAAGATGATAATATAACGACTGACAACCTTTCAAACCACAACATGCATTTTGTTTTTGGATCAATTTTCCAGCTTCCTTGACCTTAGAAAGCTTTCAGAATCTTTTATGGTGGACATGTGGTGGACATTACTAATTTTGAGACATCAGTAACAAACATATATATATGCAATACGATGACAAGTACTATCGATCGTCTGGCCTTACCTTAGGTGTATGACGATTGCACCATCTAGGTAGGATTCACTCACTTTTTAGCGAACGCATGGTAATTTAACTTTTCGTTAGTGATTCATAAACAGAGGCTTAATATCTTCTCTGAATCGTACAAACGACTCTGCGTTTAGCAGACATTTCCTATGGATGTGGAAAGGGCTTCGTCGCACTTATTTATTGTTATACGCAAATGATCATGAGACTGAACAATTTTTTTTGAATATGCAAGTTCCTTTGGTGATTTGCTGACACACGTGAGATGTTCCTGTGATCAGGAAATACTGTAAATTGCCAGGCGATATGTTTGTTTCTGTACCAGCCGAGCTGGATTGTTGTATACTCTCATAGACTACATCAACACAAACAATTCCAAATTAACATACTCGGGATTTAGGATAAATGGTCCGTATAACGTTTATACACACTCCTTAGCTGACACCAAGGAATCATTTGAATGTCAGTAATGGTCAACAACCTTGAGACCGTTCAGGATCAACACAAACATGGACATACACATGTGTGAGTGGACTTAAACAATCATTTCCAACCTGACCATGTATTATATATTCATATTGTTCGAAGATGAAGGGACACTCTCACGACATTGTACAAATCATGGGCAAACATCACAAGTTGTTATTATTTCAAAGGTTAATTTGACATGTATTTCAGTGACTGGCCACGTGATTGCCGTCCTCATTGCCTTAATAATTGTGAATTCATTATCTACTTCTGGGAAACATTCTCTGTCATTACGATAACATTCATGCAGGAAGGTTAACATGCCCCCCACGGCCGAAAGCCTGTTCTCATTGAGCCCCGAACAAGCACACACAATGACCAGGGTTTCACACAGCACTCTATAACAGAGCTCATCGAGTTGAACTTACATTTGATTTCCCATACTTGGTGCCTGCCCTTTCGGTGAGGAAGTTGTTTACTACTGTCAAAGCACGTTTCACCCATGAATATTTTAATGATTTTTTTCTTACATTTCAGTTTTGAAAAATGAAGTTTGATGAGATATTGAAAGAGGTGGGTGAGTTTGGCCCCTATCAGCGCCGAGTATATTTCCTGGTCTGCCTAGCATGTATCACTTCCGCCTTCCAGACTATGCTTCCGGTGTTTATCCTGGATATGCCGGAATACAGGTAGGTGTGCAACAACTTTTAAATGTCATAAATCCTATAACTTGAATCATGTCCATACAATAATAGAAATCATACCTGCAGCACGGGTATCGGGTATCGTTTTTCAATTTGAACAGTAGTGTTGGTACAGCTTAGGATCTTTTTCCATAGCATGGTGTTGTGATGTACGGGACCATTAAACGAGGCATTGATCTGAGAGCGTAGTATAAGCACGCGGAACTTTGAAGGTTTTATGGATTGTTGCGACTAATCCTTAGAAACTGTACATGATAAAATGACCCTTGAGTCGATGTTCAAACCTAATATCACCAACATCACCGACTGACCTTTAGAAACTGTAGATGTTTCGGGATAACATGACCCTTAATGGTTGTATGAATAAAGTACAAAGAAAATGATATCGGAATATAGGAAAGGAAGAAGGTGGAGAAAGGAAGAGGAGAGAGTACGAATTGATCAACATTGGTTTGGTTTGCATCAATCTATATTTGTAGGAGTGCCCATTTTTCTGTAAATTTGGTATTGCCTCCTGAAATGACGTTTTCTTTTTTGTGATTATGTTTTATTAGAGGTAATAATTGGGTAAATATGGGAATAGTCTTATTGTAATGACAATTTTGAATATAACGCTTGGTTATCATACAAAGGTGTTTTTCAAGGATATTCATTTTTGGATCACCAAGAAGGAAATTATTCATATTTAGACCTATTTATAAATAGTGTCTTTCTTCATTCCAAAATTTGAACTCATTTATCATAAATAGAACTTTTCGACAGGAAAACATATATGTTCTAGTGTTTCACCTTCTGATTGGCAAAATCCTATTTTGAAAAGAAATGATTTTGATGGTATGATACGATGGATGATTTTATAGTGTCCTCCACACAATTTCGTATTGTATTAAAACATTGGAAAGGTAATTTTCTGACATGTGTGCATCCAACACATTTAGTTTCATTTAATAAGATCTTGAAGAGAACAGATACAATCATCATTACGAATCAGTTTATACATACATGTACACTCTAGTGATGAGCTATTGTCCCTGAGAGTTTTACAGTTAATATTTGAATTTGTTCTGTTAACCAAGTTATCTTTTGATAAGTTAATCCATTAGTTCGGTATAAACCTTATCAATCTGAAATAGGTAATGAAATTATCTTTTAAACTGAAGTCGTATTTCAAGACACTGAATTCTGTTAAGTGTCCCGAATCAGTCATTAGGCTCCGAATATATCTAATTACACATTGATACCACTTAAAGTATGTTCTAAAATCATTATAGGGAACGAAACTCATGAAAGGGAGATTTCTGAATTCGTGAATATTTCTAATGTCAAAAGTTTGCAACTCATTATAAATAGTTAAAACATCTTTCTCAAAATCATTCTTAATGTTTTTAATTAGCCTTTTTAATTGATGTCAAGTCCATGTCAAGTCCTCCTTTTGAATGATCATATATAAACATTCTTCTTTTTATTTGATCTCGTATTCCGTTCCAAATAAACTTAAACCAGATTGAGTTTAGCGATTTATAGAAGGTTTTGTCCGGCAATGGAAGGGCTGAAAACAGACGTGTAAATAAAGGGATTATTTGTGATTTGATAATCGTTATTTTACCATTTAATGTAAGTCTTTTTGACCATCAGTGCTAGTTACACCAATTTTTAACATTTCAGATACAAACTGGTCATGTATTTTGAAAGTCATATCATCAGTTTCTCCCGATGCTTTGACTTCATTGAAAGTATTTTGTATATTTTCCATTACCAGGTTAACGTAATCTCTATCATGCAGTAAGTTGGCATTTGATTTCCAATATCCAGGGCCTCTTTCAATTGGGTTAAGGTCTAAATCGAGCATAATATATGAGTGATCAGATTTGTAACTTATTCCTATAGATACAGTTGTACTAGAGAGAATGCCCTCAGAAATTAAGAAATAGTCAAGTCAACTCTGCTTCAAGGGAACAATTGGTTATACCTACTTGGGTTGTCAGTCAAGACGTGATGAGGTAATTTTACGACGAACTCGTATTGGCCACAGTCGGTTTACACATGACTATCTGCTGAAAACGGATGGGGATGGACACCCCCCATTTGTGTCTCTTGCGATGAACTTTTCACCATCAAACATATTCTGCTTGACTGTGTGGACGTATCGTCTGCAAGGGACTCACATTATGATGCAACAAATCTGAAAGATCTGTTCTCCCGCGTGAGCGCTCATCTGATAGTGAACTACCTGAGGGAAGTTGATCTGTATCATAAATTGTAAATGTGTAATGTGACTAACACATTGCCTGCTTTTAAATTTAGTGCTATGACTTTTTCTGTTTTAAATGACAATGTAATGAATAAATGTTTTTGAAATAAGACTTATTTTGACTCTGTACTTACAATGTTTGTTGATGCAGACTTGTTCTCGTCACTATATGGCTTGAATAATGCCGATGTGACGTAAAGCCCAACTCAACTCAACTCAACTCTGCTTCAAGGGAATTGGGTGACGCCATGTGTATTGCCTAGTGTCATGTTCGATGTCGATGTTCACACCTAATATCACCAACAGCACCGACTGACCTTTAGACACTGTAGATGTTTGGAGAAAAATGCCCCTTGAGTCGATGTTTACACCTAATACCACCTACAAAATGAAAAACATTTATGGTCGGAAATCAGCATCTCCCCAGAAATCCGAAGCATTATTACAATAATTTAACTGTTAAGGACTGATCCATCCACTCTGCAAATATATATTAATAAACAAATATTATTTTAGTGTATGACTAGCTAATTCTGTAATTTGTGATATTTCCTTTTTAATATATCATGACATTATATGTGTCCTAACTGTGTGGCGAACAAGGTTGTCAAATGTAGTCAGAACAGCTTGTCGTGCTACAATTAAAACAAATGTAACTTTGTTGGTTTATGTCTCTCGGGTTGGGCTCTTTATTTCTGTAATTTGCTGCCGTAAATTACTTGTTACTCTTGCTATCAGTAACAGGTTTGTGTCCAGACGTTTATATGTCCAGACGTTTATATGTCCAGACGTTTATATGTCCAGACGTTTATATGTACCTGTGGAGTTACAAACATTCATAACTCTGCAGCTGTAAAGACAAAATGAAGACTAAAATGAACCTCATGTGAACATTTTCAGATGCAAGATATTTTCTATGCCAAACGACACCTACAGGATACAAAGCCCATATCACGCCTCTCTGGTCAACCAGTCTATACCCATGGAAACCACTGACCAATCAGAGAGCTATGCCTCATGCCGCCTGTATGACGTCACGAACAGTTCTGCTACATCGCACGGAAGTAACAAATCACAGACAACTTGTCATCGATGGGTGTACGATCAATCGACTTTTACATCTACAGTAATAACCCAGGTACACCATGATCTAAGCTTCGTGTCATTCTGGGATAAGCCAATGTCAACTCTGGTCGTGCTCATGCATTGTTTTATAGATGGCCATTACGATCTGTATTACTGTAATATCATTATGTTAGCTTTTAGTCAGTTTGGTGAACAACAAATCGTTGTCTAGTGTTTCTTCAAAACTAAGTTGCAACTAATGGTGAAGTAAAATATTAGTCAATACCAGATTACATTTGGTTAAACACTGCCCAAAAACATTACAAAGGCAGGGATCAGTGAGCTAAGAAATTTATGTATTGCGTGTGTTGTGTTTCACTTACGTATGACAATAGTATCGATCTCGGGACAGCACTATTCACTAGGTCGTGGTAGGCCCGAATATCGTGTGTTCAAATCTCTCTATCGCGCTGGACATATATGATCCGACGTTTATCAGCACCCTTTGAGTGTAAACGTCAGCGACATCCTTACTTCCTTCCAGTATTCACCCGACCGCCTCCGTGGTGTAGTGGTTAGAGCGTCCGCCCGGAGAGCGGAAGGTCGCGGGTTCGATCCCCGACCGCGTCATACCAAAAGACGTTAAAATATGGTACTTGTTGGGCCCTGCCTGGCGCTCGGCATTAATGGGTACAACAAGGACTGGTTGGCTCGGAGTCAGTATACTGTGTCTGAGTGGGGTATTCATGCTTCACTGCGGCATGGTATCTCAGCGGGCTAGCCCTATAAAACCAGCTTCAGTCTGGGCTAGTACAAGCAGCCGCACATACACATACACACGCATGCACGTCGTCATGTGAGCGAAATATTCTCAAGCACGACGTTAAACCCAATTTCACCTCACCTCACCCAGTATTCACCCGACACGCCATAGTGACACGACACTGAAATAGTGGTGTAAGACCAAACCATCTAACTCACAGTCAGTCTGTTAATGTATTCATGAAGAATCTCTGAACCAGGTTAAGGAAATAGGTGAGTGGTGACGAAGGCAATGGACATCGAGTCATCGATAGCGTTAATAAATTATATGTAAAGCGGTTTACCATCACCCTTTACTTAAACGTCTTCATCACGATGATCAGTTTCCATTTCAGTTTGACATGGTGTGTGACCACGCCTCTTTCCGCTCCCATCTGAACATGGTTGGTTTCGGGGGAATGTTGGCAGGGGCGGTCGTGTTCGGGATCATCACAGACATGTGAGTGCTCTTGTTTTCTTAAATGGTGGATAAATAACTTAAACTCTAATGCTACTTGTGTCATAAATATGTCAGATTGTCGAGACTCTCATCTTATACATAAAGTAGAAATGACACCAGCACAATGCTGCACGTGTTGCAGAACCCTGAGTACTATATGAGCTATCCTTCTCCCTCAGTATCTGTAAACTACATATATGTATTCAATCCCCACGATGTTCCTCTCTCTCTCAGTATCGGTGATCTCCCTCAGTATCGGTGAACTATATACATATATTCAATTCCCAAACTGTCCTTCTCCCTCAGTATCTGTAAACTATATATGTATTCAATCCCGAGATGTTCTGGTGATCTCCCCTAGTATCGGTGAATTATATACATATATTCAATTCCCAAACTGTCCTTCTCCCTCAGTATCATATATGTATTCAATCCCCATGATGTTCCTCTCTCTCTCAGTATCGGTGATCTCCCTCAGTATCGGTGAACTATATACATATATTCAATTCCCAAACTGTCCTTCTCCCTCAGTATCTGTAAACTACATATATGTATTCAATCCCCGAGATGTTCCTCTCTCTCTCAGTATCGGTGATCTCCCTAGTATCGGTGAATTATATACATATATTCAATTCCCAAACTGTCCTTCTCCCTCAGTATCTGTAAACTACATATATGTATTCAATCCCCGAGATGTTCCTCTCTCTCTCAGTATCGGTGATCTCCCCTAGTATCGGTGAATTATATACATATATTCAATTCCCAAACTGTCCTTCTCCCTCAGTATCTGTAAACTACATATATGTATTCAACCCCCATGATGTTCCTCTCTCTCTCAGTATCGGTGATCTCCCTTAGTATCGGTGAACTATATACATATATTCAATTCCCAAACTGTCCTTCTCCCTCAGTATCTGTAAACTACATATATGTATTCAACCCCCAAGATGTTCCTCTCTCTCTCTCAGTATCGGTGATCTCCCTTAGTATCGGTGAACTATATACATATATTCAATTCCCAAACTGTCCTTCTCCCTCAGTATCTGTAAACTACATATATGTATTCAACCCCCAAGATGTTCTTCTCTTCCTCAGTATCGGTGATCTCCCTCAGATTTAGTGAACTATATACATATACATGTATTCAATTCCCCAAAGATAGATGTACTTTATTTCCTCCATAGCATATGAAGATAAATACAAGGTTTACAGGTACATTACAACAAGTAAATCAATATGGTATTATATGGATATACACATATGGTATTATGTGAATGGTATTTACACATGTCAGAAATTATACACATTCATAGAAATATCGTTTCCACAACTTAATAGTTCTGCATATTCGGCTTATGCACATTGCCCATGTTTCATAGTCGAGGTCCTTCGTGCACTGAGTAGGGCGACCCCCAAGTAGAAAACAGAGTAATATATCGTCATCATTATTCCAAAGGTTACTAAACGTTTCTACATCAAGAATGTAGATTAAATCTTCAGTTAGTCTGTCTCTTTCATACTGCGTTTCATTACAATAAAGAAATACATGTTTAACAATGTCATAGGCAAACGTACCACAAAGACATTCATGAGATTGGATTACGTAAGTACCGATGTGTAATAGTACTGCAATATCAAAGAAGCATAGATGTTTTTCTAACGTAAGACACCACATCCTGTTAATCATTCCCAAACTGTCCTCTCTCAGTATCTGTGAACTATATACAATGTAGGTGTATTTAATCATTCTGTGAACTATATACAATGTAGGTGTATTTAATCATTCTGTGAACTATATACAATGTAGGTGTATTTAATCATTATGTGAACTATATACAATGTAGGTGTATTTAATCATTCTGTGAACTATATACAATGTAGGTGTATTTAATCATTCTGTGAACTATATACAATGTAGGTGTATTTAATCATTCTGTGAACTATATACAATGTAGGTGTATTTAATCATCCTGTGAACTATATACAATGTAGGTGTATTTAATCATTCTGTGAACTATATACAATGTAGGTGTATTTAATCATTCTGTGAACTATATACAATGTAGGTGTATTTAATCATTCTGTGAACTATATACAATGTAGATGTATTTAATCATTCTGTGAACTATATACAATGTAGGTGTATTTAATCATTCTGTGAACTATATACAATGTAGGTGTATTTAATCATTCTGTGAACTATATACAATGTAGGTGTATTCTAATCATTCTGTGAACTATATACAATGTAGGTGTATTTAATCATTCTGTGAACTATATACAATGTAGGTGTATTTAATCATTCTGTGAACTATATACAATGTAGGTGTATTTAATCATTCTGTGAACTATATACAATGTAGGTGTATTTAATCCTTCTGTGAACTATATACAATGTAGGTGTATTTAATCATTCTGTGAACTATATACAAATGTAGGTGTATTTAATCATTCTGTGAACTATATACAATGTAGGTGTATTTAATCATTCTGTGAACTATATACAATGTAGGTGTATTTAATCATTCTGTGAACTATATACAATGTAGGTGTATTTAATCATTCTGTGAACTATATACAATGTAGGTGTATTTAATCCTTCTGTGAACTATATACAATGTAGGTGTATTTAATCATTCTGTGAACTATATACAATGTAGGTGTATTTAATCATTCTGTGAACTATATACAATGTAGGTGTATTTAATCATCCTGTGAACTATATACAATGTAGGTGTATTTAATCATTCTGTGAACTATATACAATGGAGGTGTACTTAATCATTCCCAAATTGTCCTCTCTCAGTAGCTGTGAACTATATACAATGTAGGTGTATTCAATCATTCCCAAACTGACCTCTCTTAGTATCTGTGAACTATATACAATGTAGGTGTATTTAATCATTCCCAAACTGTGCTCTCTCAGTATCTGTGAACTATATTTAATGTAGGTGTATTCAATCCTTCTGTGAACTATATACAATGTAGGTGTATTTAATCCTTCTGTGAACTATATACAATGTAGGTGTATTTAATCCTTCTGTGAACTATATACAATGTAGGTGTATTTAATCATTCCCAAACTGTCCTCTCTCAGTATCTGTGAACTATATTCAATGTAGGTGTATTCAATCCTTCTGTGAACTATATACAATGTAGGTGTATTTAATCCTTCTGTGAACTATATATAATGTCAGGTGTATTTAAATGTAGGTGTATCCTTCTGTGAACTATATACAATGTAGGTGTATTTAATCATTCCCAAACTGTCCTCTCTTAGTATCTGTGAGCTATATACAATGTAGGTGTATTTAATCATTCTGTGAACTATATTCAATGTAGGTGTATTTAATCATTCTCAAACTGTCCTCTCTCAGTATCTGTGAACTATATACAATGTAGGTGTATTTAATCATCCTCTGAACTATATACAATGTAGGTGTATTTAATCATCCTGTGAACTATATACAATGTAGGTGTATTTAATCATTCTGTGAACTATATACAATGTACATGTATTCAATCATTCCCAAACTGTCCTCTCTCAGTATCTGTAAACTATATACAATGTAGGTGTATTTAATCATCCTGTGAACTATATACAATGTAGGTGTATTTAATCATTCTGTGAACTATATTCAATGTAGGTGTATTTAATCATTCTCAAACTGTCCTCTCTCAGTATCTGTGAACTATATACAATGTAGGTGTATTTAATCATCCTGTGAACTATATAGAATGTAGGTGTATTTAATCATCCTGTGAACTATATACAATGTAGGTGTATTTAATCATCCTGTGAACTATATACAATGTAGGTGTATTTAATCATTCTGTGAACTATATTCAATGTAGGTGTATTTAATCATTCTCAAACTGTCCTCTCTCAGTATCTGTGAACTATATACAATGTAGGTGTATTTAATCATCCTGTGAACTATATAGAATGTAGGTGTATTTAATCATCCTGTGAACTATATACAATGTAGGTGTATTTAATCATTCTGTGAACTATATACAATGTAGGTGTATTCAATCATTCCCAAACTGTCCTCTCTCAGTATCTGTGAACTATATACAATGTAGGTGTATTTAATCATCCTGTGAACTATATACAATGTAGGTGTATTTAATCATTCTGTGAACTATATACAATGTAGGTGTATTCAATCATTCCCAAATTGTCCTCTCTCAGTATCTGTGAACTATATACAATGTAGGTGTATTTAATCATCCTGTGAACTATATACAATGTAGGTGTATTTAATCATTCTGTGAACTATATACAATGTAGGTGTAATCAATCATTCCCAAACTGTCCTCTCTCAGTATCTGTGACCTATATACAATGTAGGTGTATTTAATCCTTCTGTGAACTATATACAATGTAGGTGTATTTAATCATTTTCAAACTGTCCTCTCTCAGTATCTGTGAACTATATACAATGTAGGTGTATTTAATCATTCCCAAACTGTCCTCTCTCAGTATCTGTAAACTATATACAATGTAGGTGTATTTAATCCTTCTGTGAACTATATACAATGTAGGTGTATTTAATCCTTCTTTGAACTATATACAATGTAGGTGTATTTAATCCTTCTGTGAACTATATACAATGTAGGTGTATTTAATCCTTCTGCGAACTATATACAATGTAGGTGTATTTAATCATTCTCAAACTCTCCTCTCTCAGTATCTGTGAACTATATACAATGTAGGTGTATTTAATCCTTCTGTGAACTATATGTGACTATATACAATGTAGGTGTATTTCTCATTCTCAAACTGTGATATATACAATGTAGGTGTATTTAATCATTCTGTGAACAAACTGTCCCTCTCTCAGTATCTGTAAACTATATACAATGTAGGTGTATTTAATCCTTCTGTGAACTATATACAATGTAGGTGTATTTAATCCTTCTGTGAACTATATACAATGTAGGTGTATTGAATCCTTCTGTGAACTATATACAATGTAGGTGTATTTAATCCTTCTGTGAACTATATACAATGTAGGTGTATTTAATCATTCTCAAACTGTCCTCTCTCAGTATCTGTGAACTATATACAATGTAGGTGTATTTAATCCTTCTGTGAACTATATACAATGTAGGTGTATTTAATCATTCCCAAACTGTCCTCTCTCAGTATCTGTGAACTATATACAATGTAGGTGTATTTAATCCTTCTGTGAACTATATACAATGTAGGTGTATTTAATCATTCTCAAACTGTCCTCTCTCAGTATCTGTGAACTATATACAATGTAGGTGTATTTAATCATTCTGTGAACTATATACAATGTAGGTGTATTTAATCATTCTCAAACTGTCCTCTCTCAGTATCTGTGAACTATATACAATGTAGGTGTATTTAATCATTCTGTGAACTATATACAATGTAGGTGTATTTAATCCTTCTGTGAACTATATACAATGTAGGTGTATTTAATCCTTCTGTGAACTATATACAATGTAGGTGTAATCAATCATTCTCAAACTGTCCTCTCTCAGTATCTGTGAACTATATACAATGTAGGTGTATTTAATCCTTCTGTGAACTATATACAATGTAGGTGTATTTAATCATTCCCAAACTGTCCTCTCTCAGTATCTGTGAACTATATACAATGTAGGTGTATTCAATCATTCCCAAACTGTCCTCTCTCAGTATCTGTGAACTATATACAATGTAGGTGTATTTAATCATTCCCAAACTGTCCTCTCTCAGTATCTGTGACCTATATACAATGTAGGTGTATTCAATCATTCCCAAACTGTCCTCTCTTAGTATCTGTGAACTATATACAATGTAGGTGTATTCAATCATTCCCAAACTGTCCTCTCTCAGTATCTGTGAACTATATACAATGTAGGTGTATTCAATCATTCCCAAACTGTCCTCTCTCAGTATCTGTGAACTATATACAATGTAGGTGTATTCAATCATTCCCAAACTGTCCTCTCTCAGTATCTGTGAACTATATACAATGTAGGTGTATTCAATCATTCCCAAACTGACCTCTCTCTCTTGAGTATCTGTGAACTATATATACAATGTAGGTGTATTCAATCATTCCCAAACTGTCCTCTCTCAGTATCTGTGAACTATATACAATGTAGGTGTATTTAATCATTCTCAAACTGTCCTCTCTCAGTATCTGTGAACTATATACAATGTAGGTGTATTTAATCATTCTCAAACTGTCCTCTCTCAGTATCTGTGAACTATATACAATGTAGGTGTATTCAAACATTCCCAAACTGTCCTCTCTCAGTATCTGTGAATCTGTGATATACAATGTAGGTGTATTCAATCATTCCCAAACTGTTCTCAAATGTAGGTGTCCTTCCCAAACTGTCTGTAGTATCTGTGAACTATATACAATGTAGGTGTATTCAATCATTCCCAAACTGTCCTCTCTTAGTATCTGTGAACTATATACAATGTAGGTGTATTCAATCATTCCCAAACTGTCCTCTCTTAGTATCTGTGAACTATATACAATGTAGGTGTATTCAATCATTCCCAAACTGTCCTCTCTCAGTATCTGTGAGCTATGTTCAATGTAGGTGTATTCAATCCTTCTGTGAACTATATACAATGTAGGTGTAATCAATCATTCCCAAACTGTCCTCTCTCAGTATCTGTGACCTATATACAATGTAGGTGTATTTAATCCTTCTGTGAACTATATACAATGTAGGTGTATTTAATCCTTCTGTGAACTATATACAATGTAGGTGTAATCAATCATTCCCAAACTGTCCTCTCTCAGTATCTGTGACCTATATACAATGTAGGTGTATTTAATCATTCCCAAACTGTCCTCTCTCAGTAGCTGTGAACTATATACAATGTAGGTGTAATCAATCATTCCCAAACTGTCCTCTCTCAGTATCTGTGACCTATATACAATGTAGGTGTAATCAATCATTCCCAAACTGTCCTCTCTCAGTATCTGTGAACTATATACAATGTAGGTGTAATCAATCATTCCCAAACTGTCCTCTCTCAGTATCTGTGAACTATATACAATGTAGGTGTATTTAATCATTCCCAAACTGTCCTCTCTCAGTAGCTGTGAACTATGTTCAATGTAGGTGTATTCAATCCTTCTGTGAACTATATATATACAATGTAGGTGTATTTAATCCTTCTGTGAACTATATACAATGTAGGTGTAATCAATCATTCCCAAACTGTCCTCTCTCAGTATCTGTGAACTATATACAATGTAGGTGTATTTAATCCTTCTGTGAACTATATACAATGTAGGTGTAATCAATCATTCCCAAACTGTCCTCTCTCAGTATCTGTGAACTATATACAATGTAGGTGTATTTAATCATTCTGTGAACTATATACAATGTAGGTGTATTTAATCCTTCTGTGAACTATATACAATGTAGGTGTATTTAATCATATTTCTGTGAACTATATACAATGTAGGTGTAATCAATCATTCTCAAACTGTCCTCTCTCTCAGTATCTGTGAACTATATACAATGTAGGTGTATTTAATCCTTCTGTGAACTATATACAATGTAGGTGTATTTAATCATTCCCAAACTGTCCTCTCTCTCAGTATCTGTGAACTATATACAATGTAGGTGTATTCAATCATTCCCAAACTGTCCTCTCTCTCAGTATCTGTGAACTATATACAATGTAGGTGTAATCAATCATTCCCAAACTGTCCTCTCTCAGTATCTGTGAACTATATACAATGTAGGTGTATTCAATCATACCCAAACTGTCCTCTCTTTAGTATCTGTGAACTATATACAATGTAGGTGTATTCAATCATTCCCAAACTGTCCTCTCTTAGTATCTGTGAACTATATATACAATGTAGGTGTATTCAATCATTCCCAAACTGTCCTCTCTCAGTATCTGTGAGACTATATACAATGTAGGTGTATTCAATCATTCCCAAACTGTCCTCTCTCAGTATCTGTGAACTATATACAATGTAGGTGTATTCAATCATTCCCAAACTGTCCTCTCTTAGTATCTGTGAACTATATACAATGTAGGTGTATTTAATCATTCCCAAACTGTCCTCTCTCAGTATCTGTGAACTATATTCAATGTAGGTGTATTCAATCCATTTCTGTGAACTATCTGTGTAACTATATACAATGTAGGTGTAATCAATCATTCCCAAACTGTCCTCTCTCAGTATCTGTGAACTATATACAATGTAGGTGTAGGTGTCATTCTCAAACTGTCCTCTCTCAGTATCTGTGAACTATATACAATGTAGGTGTATTCAAACATTCCCAAACTGTCCTCTCTTAGTATCTGTGAACTATATACAATGTAGGTGTAATCAATCATTCCCAAACTGTCCTCTCAGTATCTGTGAACTATATACAATGTAGGTGTATTCAATCATTCCCAAACTGTCCTCTCTCAGTATCTGTGAACTATATACAATGTAGGTGTGTTCAATCATTCCCAAACTGTCCTCTCTCAGTATCTGTGAACTATATACAATGTAGGTGTAATCAATCATTCCCAAACTGTCCTCTCTCAGTATCTGTGACCTATATACAATGTAGGTGTATTTAATCCTTCTGTGAACTATATACAATGTAGGTGTAATCAATCATTCCCAAACTGTCCTCTCTCAGTATCTGTGAACTATATACAATGTAGGTGTATTTAATCCTTCTGTGAACTATATACAATGTAGGTGTAATCAATCATTCCCAAACTGTCCTCTCTCAGTATCTGTGAACTATATACAATGTAGGTGTAATCAATCATTCCCAAACTGTCCTCTCTCAGTATCTGTGACCTATATACAATGTAGGTGTATTTAATCATTCCCAAACTGTCCTCTCAGTATCTGTGAACTATATACAATGTAGGTGTAATCAATCATTCCCCCAAACTGTCCTCTCTCTCAGTATCTGTGACCTATATACAATGTAGGTGTATTTAATCATTCCCAAACTGTCCTCTCTCAGTATCTGTGAACTATATACAATGTAGGTGTAATCAATCATTCCCAAACTGTCCTCTCTCAGTATCTGTGAACTATATACAATGTAGGTGTATTTAATCATTCCCAAACTGTCCTCTCTCAGTAGCTGTGAACTATGTTCAATGTAGGTGTATTCAATCCTTCTGTGAACTATATACAATGTAGGTGTATTTAATCCTTCTGTGAACTATATACAATGTAGGTGTAATCAATCATTCCCAAACTGTCCTCTCTCAGTATCTGTGAGCTATATACAATGTAGGTGTATTTAATCCTTCTGTGAACTATATACAATGTAGGTGTATTTAATCATTCTCAAACTGTCCTCTCTCAGTATCTGTGAACTATATACAATGTAGGTGTAATCAATCATTCCCAAACTGTCCTCTCTCTCAGTATCTGTGATATATACAATGTAGGTGTAATCAATCATTCCCATTCCCAAACTCAGTATCTGTGAACTATATACAATGTGGTGTGTAATCAATCATTCCCAAACTGTCCTCTCTCAGTATCTGTGAACTATATACAATGTAGGTGTATTCAATCATTCCCAAACTGTCCTCTCTCAGTATCTGTGAACTATATACAATGTAGGTGTATTTAATCATTCCCAAACTGTCCTCTCTCAGTATCTGTGAACTATATACAATGTAGGTGTAATCAATCATTCCCAAACTGTCCTTCTCTCTCAGTAGTTGTGAACTTTATTTATGTGCATTCAATCTCCACAGTGTTGGACGCAAGCGGACTCTCCTGGCCAGTGGTGTCATCCAGATGGTGTTCGGCATCGCACTAGCTTTCTCTCCAAACTTCATCGTGTTCGCTGTGTTCCGATTCTTCACGGGGATAGCGGCCATGTCTACATTCATGATTGCCTTTGTTATAGGTGAGTTGGACAGTGAAAGATTTCATTTATCCTACATTGAGTATTTGCTTGTCCAGTCACTGGTTAAGTGATGGAATATATGGACAACAATGTTTTGATACTATCAAACTGAATACGCCTTTACAACTGCGTGAAATAGATTCAGAGATTTATTCATGAATAAATTAAAAGATTTTAATTTTCTTCACTGATATGGTAATCATCTCAAGGGATTCCTCTTTCATCTGGTTATAAATTGACTACTTAAGTTTAGACTCAGCCGAATGAGGTTACCATGGGTTACGATGTTACTATGATCGCCAGCTTGCTTTCTTAGTGATTCAAGGAACACGGTTGGACTCATCATGATTCCAGGACCATGGTTAGGCCTATCATGATTCCAGGACCATGGTTAGGCTCATCATGATTACAGGACCACGGTTAGGGTAATCATGATTCCAGGACCATGGTAAGGATCATGATTATGATTATAGGGACCATTCCAGGACCACGGTTAGGATCATTAGGACCATTGTTAGGGACCATCATCATGATTATAAGGACCATAGGACCACGGTTAGGATCATCATGATTCCAGGACCATTGTTAGGACCATTATTATCATGATTATCAGGACCATTAGGATCATCATGATTACAGGACCACCATCATGATTCAAGGACCACGGTTAGGATCATCATGATTCCAGGACCACGGTTAGGATCATCATGATTCCAGGACCAGGACCATCACTTAGGATCATCATGATTCCAGGACCACTGTTAGGATCATCATGATTCCAGGACCATGGTTAGGACCATCATGATTCCAGGACCACGGTTAGGATCATCATGATTACAGGACCACGGTTAGGATCATCATGATTCCAGGACCATTGTTAGGATCATCATGATTCCAGGACCACGGTTAGGTTCATCATGATTCCAGGACCATTGTTAGGATCATCATGATTCCAGGACCACGGTTAGGCTCATCATGATTCCAGGACCACGGTTAGGATTCATCATGATTACAGGACCATGGTTAGGATCATCATGATTCCAGGACCATGGTTAGGATCATCATGATTACAGGATCATTAGATCATCAATTCCAGGACCACGGTTAGGTTCATCATGATTCCAGGACCATGGTTAGGATCATCATGATTCCAGGACCATTGGTTAGGATCAGGACCACGGTTTGGATCAGGATTCCAGGACATCATCATGATTCCAGGACCACGGTTAGGTTCATCATGATTCCAGGACCATTGTTAGGACCATCATGATTATAAGACCATTGTTAGGATCATCATGATCCCAGGACCACGGTTAGTATCATCATGATTCGAGGACCATTGTTAGGATCATCATGATTCCAGGACCACGGTTAGGGTCATCATGATTCGAGGACCATTGTTAGGATCATCATGATTCCAGGACCACGGTTAGGGTCATCATGATTACAGGCCTACGGTTAGGCTCATCATGATTCAAGGACCACGGTTAAGTTAATCATGATTCCAGGACCACGGTTAGGATCATCATGATTCCAGGACTACGGCTAGGCTCATCATGATTCCAGGACCACTGTTAGGATCATCATGATTACAGGACCATTGTTAGGACCATCATGATTATAGGACCACGGTTTGGATCATCATAATTCCAGTACCACGGTTAAGCTCATCATGATTCCAGGACCATGGTTAGGATCATCATGATTATAAGACCATTGTTAGGACCATCATGATTCCAGGACCACGGTTAGGTTCATCATGATTCCAGGACCATCGTTAGGATCATCAAGATTCCAGGACGATGGTTAGGCTCATAATGATTCCAGGACCATTGTTAGGATCATCATGATTCCAGGACCATCGTTAGGATCATCATGATTCCAGGACCATGGTTAGGATCATCATGATTCCAGGACCATCGTTAGGATCATCATGATTCCAGGACCACGGTTAGGATCATCATGATTCCAGGACCATTGTTAGGCTTATCATGATTCCAGGACCATTGTTAGGATCATCATGATTCCAGGACCACAGTTAGACCCGTCATGTTTCCAGGACCACGGTTAGGTTCATCATGATTCCAGGACCATCGTTAGGATCATCATGATTCCAGGACCACGGTTAGGCCCATCATGATTCCAGGACGATGGTTAGGCCCATCATGATTCCAGGACCATGGTTAGGATTATCATGATTCCAGGACCATTGTTAGGATCATCATGATTCCAGGACCACGGTTAGGATCATCATGATTCCAGGGCCATCGTAAGGCTCATCTTGATTCCAGGACCATTGTTAGGATCATCATGATTACAGGACTATGGTTAGGATCATCATGATTCCAGGACCACTGTTAGGATCATCATGATTCCAGGACCATGGTTAAGCTCATCATGATTCCAGGACCACGGTTAGGCTCATCATGATTCCAGGACCACGGTTAGGATCATCATGATTCCAGGACCATGGTTAGGCCCATCATGATTCCAGGACAACGGATAGGCTCATCATCAGCTCAGGGCTGTGAATGTGGCTTTTGCCAGGAAGCACTGTCGAACCATCAAGAACCTTTCGGAGAATGTGAAGACTCCCTAACACTGCGGCCTTCCTTCGACATTACCCAGAGTATCACAGGGTCTGTGTTACCGGCCGTAAACGCTGGTACTTATTTCAGTGTCAGTTAAGACATTGAGAGGTAGCAAAGCTGAGGCGCAGAGAACAATGAGGAGTGGGCCAATTTGGTAACTAGGATGCAGCCATAAAATTTCTTGAAGAAGGTCTGCATATTTGCCTCGTTTCTCCTTAATCTCACCAATTACGTCAGTGCTTAAAGGCATAAAGATTCAGAGTGGCAAACCCCCCTCAAGACTGTGTGTCTTCAACGTTCCAAACAGTGACCCTTCACTTTAGCAGCTCCGTGATGGAGTGCCTGCATCTCAATGGGTTTGAAATACAATAGAACATGTGCTCTTTCTAAAAGCGTCAAGCCACTCTTGCCCCAATATTTGTTTCATCAGGGTTACCACATGATTGAACTTAGACTTTTAAAAAGTTTTATGGTAGACATGTGAAGGATATCTCCTTATATGAGGCTTCGGTGACTAGTTCTTACAAGCATGTGCAGCGAATGCCACAAGTGAGTGAGAGTGAGTTTAGTTTTACGCCGCTTTTAGCTATGTTCCAGCAGTATCACGGCGGGGGACACAAGAAATGGGCTTCACATATTGTACCCATGTTGGGAATCGAACCGGGGTTTTCGGCGTGACGAGCGAACGCCATAACCAGTAGACTACCCTGGCCCCCTAATAGGATGCCTGTTTTAATCACTAATGTTGATGACATTATTCAGCCGTAGTGGAAATAAACACGGTTTCAATTAAATGTCTTAGCGTTATAAAAAGTCGCTTTCTTGTATCCTAAGTTTTATTCCAGTTATTTATATATATTTCAGGACTTGAACTCGTTGGCCCCTCAAAACGAACCATTGCAGGAATTGCCATAGAGTTCTTCTGGTGCTTTGGTCTCTTTGTGCTGGCGCTTGCGGCCTACTTCATCAGAGAGTGGAAATATCTCCAGATCGTGATGACCATCCCTTCGGTGTTCTTTATAGTATATTGGTGGTAAGGAAACACTCACTCTCTGCGCAAGTTCCTGGAAGCGTGATAAGGAGCTTGCGTGCGTATGTGCGTTTTTATGAGAGTGAATCGATATACATTTTCAAGTGTTATAGAACATTTCACTTTTGTTCATTACCTGTAAAAAACAACATTTCACATTCGTCTACTCAAATATAGTCGTCTTGAAGAGAAGACACCATATATATGACTAATAAGTTCCTTGTTTGCTCATTGAAAGGGTAATACCGGAATCTCCAAGATGGCTGCTGTCACGTGGTCGGGTGGATGAAGCTGAACAAATTATAAACAAATTAGCTCGCGTCAATGGCCGATCTCTGCCGAAGGACGTCATGAAACGTGTGATGCTGGAGGACGGTCCCGAGATGAAAATTTGGCACATGTTCACCACGCCCGTCCTCATCATCAGGGGAATAGTAATATTTTATCAATGGTAAGCTGCATGTGTTACACATGTATTAGATCTATTTATTATTGATTACGTAATGTGATAAACAACAGTTTTCTAGTTACTATTACTGGGTGTTCAGTTTATTTCCAGAATACAACAGGAGAAAATCGGACCAAATCATCGAATTATACGTCATCAAATATGCTAAAATAAAGATAGTAACTATATTCAATAAATGTGACCATTCAGATCCATGTTTTATGTGTACGATTTCGAGACAATAGCGAGCTGACACGAAATATCAACGCACATATCGGTGTTGAAAATGGGGTCTTTTGTTATTGTTTACATTATGCCCATGTAACGATTTTCGTGTCTCGAAACTGCTTTACACGGAAAGAATTACGGAAACTGTCGATGTTTACCGAAGAGAGGTCAGACGCTTGTTCAAAGAATGAGGGTAGTGCTAATGCGAGGGTCAGTGTTCAAATATTAAAAGCAGGTAGAGAAATTGAATACAATGAGCAGAAAAGGTAAAAGAATAAACAGCAAGGTCAACACATTTTTTTGTGAAAAACATAAATTTTGATTGAACGGCACGTTAAAATAGTCGGGCTGTCCGGTTTTCGATCAGGTTTGAACATCTCGAGTGTCACCCCTTGTGTATTTTATGTAATGTGTGTAGCTTTGGAATTTTCTTAAAAATTTATTTCTTCACCGATCTCGTTCAAATATGAAGTATAGGTTAATCATAACGTATATAAACAATATACGATTGCAAAAGTTTAGATTTTTATTTTTAAAAGTTATTCTCCAAACAGGGATTCAAACCCCTGTGGTTTTAACCCAATGAATGCCGAGGTTTTTTTACAGGATCTACTTGCAGCTACAGATTTACTCTTTATGTAGAAAGTGGCTTGCCATAAATGAAATTTATTTTCCTCTTAAACGTCAAACGACGACAGCGTCACACACGCATAACGATAAGTTTGTTCTCAGTTTTGTTCACGGTGAACCAAACCATTCCAATATAGAAATTCACATTGTAACCGGAGGCGTTTTGGTAGTATCACAAATTATAAAAACAATAAAAACAATTAACAATACGCAGATAGATAGAATGTTTTTGTATTACACACTTTACAAATATGTGTACAAACGATCTCTAAATCAAGGGAAACGTCCCGCGTAATATCCTGTGTACCAATATCCATGGTCTGTCCTTGTGCCTTGGCCCCTGAATAAGGCAATGAAACATACATCTAAAGACTTGATAAGACATCTATTTTTATATAAACAAAATTTAAATATAACATACTCGGATGTCTGGTGTCACTGGATCATAGGAGAACAACCGCAAACCAACATCTCCTGAAACAACACTACAGTCGTATTACCGGAAATATGTCTTTCACAAATGGAGGTTGTTTTTTTCAACAATAATTATAACCAAATTTCAGAACTTAGATCCGCACTGCAACTTATTTACGCGCGATATAGCAACTGTCACTTTGAACTTAGACACGACCAAATAAGTGATACTGACAAACTTTTGCACGTGTTGGAAGCTGAAACCTTGACATAACCTCAAAATGTATGTAGTTCCCATGATGTGTAGTATGCAGGATTGTAATGTGATATAAACAGGTTAGTGAACAACGATTTCATTGATGTTATATTACTTTATGGCAGTTATTACTAACTTGTATTAAATGTATATACACCCATATATGTTAGGAATTGTACTGGCATGGACTTATTGTATGGACAATGATGTCTAATGAATTGCCAGGTGCGCGTTTGTCACAAACATTTATCTATATACCCGTCTTGTGTTCTATAATATAATCAATTTATATTTAGAAACATAATACGTTATTAATATGTTTTATTAAATGTTCATGCGGAACTGTACTAGTCATGGAATGTTTCTATATCATTTTATGGACAGTGATGTCTAATACATGGCCAGGTGCGCGTATTGTCACAAACATTTAACAATATACATACTCTTGTTTTCTACAATGTACTCAATTTATGTTTACAAAAATAATATGATGGCAGGATATCAAACTGTTTACTATATTTTTGCAAGAATTGTACAAATAATACAAACCATGCATTGTTCTCTTTTGGTCAAACCGTACACCATTATTCTGATAGTTCCGTGTGAAAGAGAACATTTCATTTTGTTCAGTTTTTATTGTATATTACTATGAGTGAGTGAGTGAGTGAGTTTAGTTTTACGCCGCACTCAGCAATATTCCAGCTATATGGTGGCGGTCTGTAAATAATCGAGTCTGGACCAGACAATCCAGTGATCAACAGCATGAGCATCGATCTGCGCAATTGGGAACCGATGACATGTGTCAACCAAGTCAGCGAGCCTGACCACCCGATCCCGTTAGTCGCCTCTTACGACAACATAGTCGCCTTTTTATGGCAAGCACATGGGTTGCTGAAGACCTATTCTACCCCGGATCTTCACGGGTCCTATATTACTATGAAGAGAAATAGTCACATATTAATGAACCAGGAATTTATTGTATTCGCGTGTTGTGAAGTGATCTTTACGGGTGTAGCCTTTGTCAAACAGGTGTGCGTTTTGTTCACGGGGTGAAAGTTGTTTTACGGCTATATCATCATTTCGTTAGAGATTTTAGGTTTAAGTTCAAACCCGAAAAGCCAAAGGTAGTAGATCAGATAATTGTTCTCTCTCTCAACACTTCAATATACACGGTAATATATGCTGAACATCAGAAGTGGTTTTAAACCAAGCAATTATTTCGTTTGATTATCCACTAAAATCTATATAAACTCTCGAAGGGTTTGAGGAAATGTCCATTCCGTCTCGTTCATCTGCATAGCACTGGTTATGTTTCAAGGTCTTCGAGGTGTCCTTCCACACGCCATGCTATTGCTTCCACACGCCATGCTATTGCTTCCACACGCCATGCCATTATTTCAGCTGTCCTTCAGCACGCCATGCCATTACTTCAAGCTGTCCTTCCACACGCCATACCATTCCTTCCAGCTGTCCTTCCACACGCCATGCCATTACTTCCAGCTGTCCTTCCACACGCCATGCCATTACTTCCAGCTGTCCTTCCACACGCCATGCCATTACTTCAAGCTGTCCTTCCACACGCCATGCCATTACTTCCAGCTGTCCTTCCACACGCCATGCCATTACTTCCAGCTGTCCTTCCACACGCCATGCTATTACTTCCAGCTGTCTTCCACACGCCATGCCATTACTTCCACTGTCCTTCCACACGCCATTACTTCCAGCTGTCCTTCCACACGCCATGCTATTACTTCCAGCTGTCCTTCCACACGCCATGCTATTGCTTCCAGCTGTCCTTCCACACGCCGTGCCATTACTTCCAGCTGTCCTTCCACGCCATGCCATTACTTCCAGCTGTCCTTCCACACTTCCATGCTATTACTTCCAGCTGTCCTTCCATCACGCCATGCTATTACTTCCAGCTGTCCTTCCACACGCCATGCCATTACTTCCAGCTGTCCTTCCACACGCCATGCCATTACTTCCAGCTGTCCTTCCACACGCCATGCTATTACTTCCAGCTGTCCTTCCACACGCCATGCCATTACTTCCAGCTGTCCTTCCACACGCCATGCTATTACTTCCAGCTGTCCTTCCACACGCCATGCCATTACTTCCAGCTGTCCTTCCACACGCCATGCTATTGCTTCCAGCTGTCCTTCCACACGCCGTGCCATTACTTCCAGCTGTCCTTCCACACGCCATGCTATTACTTCCAGCTGTCCTTCCACACTTCATGTTATTACTTCCAGCTGTCCTTCCACACGCCATGCTATTGCTTCCAGCTGTCCTTACACACTTCATGTTATTACTTCGAGCTGTCCTCCCACACGCCATGCTATTACTTCCAGCTGTCCTTACACACGCCATGCCATTACTTCCAGCTGTCCTTCCACACGCCGTACTATTACTGAAATGTTGTTCGATCAGCATGAACCAAACTCACTATCGCATTCCATATATCCTTAAACTAGGTTTGCTATCAACATCATCTACTACGGCCTCAGTCTGAACGTCAGCAACCTCAGCGGAGACGTCTTCTTCAACTTCACCATCTCCTCCGCTGTAGAGACAGCTGTCCTTCCACACGCCATGCCATTACTTCCAGCTGTCCTTCCACACGCCATGCTATTGCTTCCAGCTGTCCTTCCACACGCCGTGCCATTACTTCCAGCTGTCCTTCCACACGCCATGCTATTACTTCCAGCTGTCCTTCCACACTTCATGTTATTACTTCGAGCTGTCCTTCCACACGCCATGCTATTGCTTCCAGCTGTCCTTACACACTTCATGTTATTACTTCGAGCTGTCCTCCCACACGCCATGCTATTACTTCCAGCTGTCCTTACACACGCCATGCCATTACTTCCAGCTGTCCTTCCACACGCCGTACTATTACTGAAATGTTGTTCGATCAGCATGAACCAAACTCACTATCGCATTCCATATATCCTTAAACTAGGTTTGCTATCAACATCATCTACTACGGCCTCAGTCTGAACGTCAGCAACCTCAGCGGAGACGTCTTCTTCAACTTCACCATCTCCTCCGCTGTAGAGACAGCTGCTTATGTCATGTGCATTGTTATCCTGGAGAAGACGGGCAGAAAGAAACTATACTGTGCAAGCATGCTTCTTGGTGGAGTGGCATGCATTGCAACAGTGTTCCCAGTTATCTATGGTGACAAGTGTGAGTATACTTAAGCCTTGTTTGTCATGTTCTTTATTCGAAGTGACGCAGGTCCTTTTGGCGTTGTTCCCAAATTAAACTGAGACGACGTGATATATGAAACATGTACTAAGAGTCCAATTTATCTTAGCTCTATTCACTTGGTCATAAGCCTGTCTTAAAGAGGTGGAGTTGCGGGTTGTTGAAGTTCCAAGACAGGACGCGACTGTTATGGTATCCGTTGGGTATCCGTTGTGCCAAAGAACCACGGGTCGCGGTGTTTGTCATTGTATATTTCGTTCAAACTTTCATTGTATGTTTTATCTGCTTACATGGTGTGGCAATGAGGTAGCTCATTGGTCTGAGGTGGTGATCTTCTCTTTGAAGAACTACGTCCCTGGTGTGTACCAGAAACCTGTCTCGAATTGTTCGTATCCCAGATTTGCCCTGATCATGTATCGGAGACCTGTAACACATGTTACATTTAAGATTACAGTTTCTCAGTAAAGTACAAATTCTAGTACTTTTGTTGGGATTCGAACCGACACTTACAGACGTCATGCACATGGTAGCCTAGAACAGGCTTTGTGTACCCCTCTGACAAGTTTAAATTGTCACGGCTCCCATGGCCGAAAGGTACGAATACACAATGCCGTTTCGAAAGTGGTCAAATGTAACACGTTTGTATTTGGGATTACACTTTTGCAGAAAAGCACAGCTTCTGTACTTTTGTTGGGTTATCTGATCACTTTCTTAATGACATTGTGCACACATCTGAGGCCTGCGTCAGCTCGGGCCTTCCTCTTACACAAAGATGATGCGCTCCAGCATATAACGGAAGTATTTTCAAAGCAGCGTCAAAACAAACTCACTAACTCACTTCAACATCCTCCATGCTGCAGCACACACGTGGATCACGGTTACCCTGGCTATGGTCGGCAAGTTTGGGGCGTCGGCGGCTTTCGCGGTGGTGTATGTCTTCTCCGCTGAGATCTTCCCGACGGTGGTGCGTCAGTCTGGCATAGGGGCGTGTTCTGTATTTGAAGGCGTTGGTGGCATGGTGGCTCCATATATATCAGATCTGGTAAGCTTGTAAGACCTTGTAACTAACGATGCAACGTTTTGGTTTACTTGTTAAAATCCTGGTTTACAGTTTGGTAGAATCACAAGTTGGAAGATGAATTCCGAAATGATTTATGGAGAACATATTTGTCTCACCACTTTGCAGGGCGTCATGGTTGGAGGAAACTTAGCGGAAGCTCTGCCACTCATCGTGTTCGGGGTTATCACTGTTTCCGCCGGACTGTTGTCGTTACTGCTTCCGGAAACAAAGAACAAGAAGCTTCCAGAAACCATTGAAGATGCTATATTGTTCGGAAGGTATGCTATATGTTTTGGAAACAGCTTATTGTATAACAGTGTCTTTGTTAAGAGACAGGATGGGCCCCAAGCTCTCTATTGTTTGACGCAACAGGCGAGACAAATAGATCGGATAATAGTCTAAAATGTGTGACAGATTACATGCCATAGTCCACTATTGTTGTACCTGTTCCGCTTTACTTTAGCAGCTGAGTCGGATACGTACTGTTCTTCATTATAGCTTGAATGTTGCTGACTATTAAGAACGATATTCGATTTAACACAGTGTGAACATTAGCTCCCAATATTGTTTAGTTTTGCTAATTAAGTTTATAATCTTGGTGCATCGTCATCATTCCATTTCCAGTTACAAGCCCTTCTGTTCACAAACCTGTTGCCTGTCTTCCGTTTGTGTTCTGCAAATGTGTTGCACTATTATACTCTATTTCATTTCTATTTTCAGGGAAAATAAGTCAAACAAGTATACGTACGATCCAATAGTATCTAAAAACACAAAGGAAATGGTGGACGATTCCATTCTATAGTGTTTACTACCTCTGAAATGACTGAGACGTCATCGGTTGCACCCTCTGTACCAGCGGACATGCCAAGAACGGGATGCGCCCATATCAGGAAGAACAGAGCATTTTCATTGATATACATGTTCAACCATTTCACATGTTACAGATCTTCCTCCATACTACACCCACTTTCATATAGCTCATGAGACTAGCTGATGGTTATGCAGATAGATTCCCATTTAACAATATGTGTATATAGGGAAACAGTATATATTTCAACAACTAATAACTCACCTACCATGAGATTTCATATGCGATTAAATACAATCATCAAACCTCTGTTGTCGTTTTGTAAAGACCAATATGTAGTAATTGAAGTGCACCTTGCTTGATGGTTGTACTCGGATCCCCGATGGTGCTGGTTGACGGATGTATCCAGGTCCCCGATCTCCTCGTTGCATTAAATATGATGGGTGTCTGATCCTTGGATACCGGGCTTCTTCGTCTAGATCCTTGTGTCAACAACATCCTTGTGCCAACAATCTGACTGTGGAGATGTATTTCACACATTGTGTGAGAGACTATGAGGACTTCCTTGAAGGGCATTTTAGAAGTTGGGGTGATGAAGAATGATGATACATTTTATGGATATACAACTTCGTTATTCTGTCTAGACGTCTAGACGTCTAAAACGTATCATCATTCTAGACGTCTAGACGTTTAGGGCCGAGGCCTCCAGCCTCCAGCTGTCTGGTCTTCAATGTCAACCCCGGACCCCTTGGCCGGAGATAATTTATAGTGCTGTCCAAATCGGAGAGAAGGGGCGAACCACTTTTGCAAGCATAAACATAACATGAAAATAAACATCAGTCCCTACGTATTCCACATTCCTTTAACATAAAATTAACACAACCATTTCTATAATTATGTATAAATGGACAAACCCTGAGTCATAATCATCACTGAAAGACATGAACTCCTTTCAGTGAAAGGAAACAACAAAACCATTGACATTCTATAACTAACAGCATCGAAAACATTGATACGTCACATGATAATAGCTAAAGCCACAAAATCGTTCCTACGGGCATAAATATATGCTGCGTAACCATTGCCAAGAAACATGCATGTCAATATGCGATAAAACCGTTTCCTCATTCATAAATAAAAAGCAACAAGAGCATTCCCACAATAACGAATTAAACATGCCAATTCATTCCCATGATCATAAAGAAAAGGATGAAATCTTTTTAACAGGCATAAATTAACACAACACAACCATAACCATAAACCGACATAAAATTCCCAAACGTTGATATAAATAATAGAGACCAACGATTGCCATAATTTATATTAGAAGATTCCAAACTATTGCCATAAACCTGATTACATGAGACCCAACCATTGTCATCATCCTAGATAAAAGAGTCCCAACCATTGATATAATCCTATATATAAGAGTCCCAACCATTGCCATAATCCTAGATAAAAGAGTCCAACCATTGCCCTAATCCCAGATAAAAGAGTCCCAACCATTGCCATAATCCTCGATAAAAGAGTCCAAACCATTGTCACTATTCTAGATAAAAGAGTCCCAACCATTGCCATAATCCTCGATAAAAGAGTCCCAACCATTGCCATAATCCCAGATAAAAGAGTCCCAACCATTGCCATAATCCCAGATAAAAGAGTCCCAACCAATGCCATAATCCCAGATAAAAGAGTCCCAAACCATTGCCCTAATCCCAGATAAAAGAGTCCCAAACCATTGCCATAATCCCAGATAAAAGCGTCCGAACCATTGCCATAATCCTCGATAAAAGAGTCCCAACCATTGCCCTAATCCTCGATAAAAGAGTCCCAACCATTGCCCTAATCCTCGATAAAAGAGTCCCAACCATTGATATAATCCTATATATAAGAGTCCCAACCATTGCCCTAATCCTAGATAAAAGAGTCCAACCATTGCCCTAATCCCAGATAAAAGAGTCCCAACCATTGCCATAATCCTCGATAAAAGAGTCCCAACCATTGTCACTATTCTAGATAAAAGAGTCCCAACCAATGCCATAATCCCAGATAAAAGAGTCCCAACCATTGCCATAATCCTAGATAAAAGAGACCAATCATTGCCCTAATCCCAGATAAAACAGTCCCAACCATTGCCATAATCCTCGATAAAAGAGTCCCAACCATTGTCACTATTCTAGATAAAAGAGTCTCAACCAATGCCATAATCCCAGATAAAAGAGTCCCAACCATTGCCCTAATCCTCGATAAAAGAGTCCCAACCATTGATATAATCCTATATATAAGAGTCCCAACCATTGCCATAATCCCAGATAAAGGAGTCCAACCATTGCCCTAATCCCAGATAAAAGAGTCCCAACCATTGCCATAATCCTCGATAAAAGAGTCCCAACCATTGTCACTATTCTAGATAAAAGAGTCCCAACCATTGCCATAATCCCAGATAAAAGAGTCCCAACCATTGCCATAATCTTAGATAAAAGAGTCCAATCATTGCCCTAATCCCAGATAAAAGAGTCCCAACCATTGCCATAATCCTCGATAAAAGAGTCCCAACCATTGTCATTATTCTAGATAAAAGAGTCCCAGCCATTGCCATAATCCTCGATAAAAGCGTCCGAACCATTGCCATAATCCCAGATGAAAGAGTCCCAACCATTGCCATAATCCTAGATAAAAGAGTCCCAACCATTGCCATAATCCTCGATAAAAGAGTCCCAACCATTGTCATTATTCTAGATAAAAGAGTCCCAACCAATGCCATAATCCCAGATAAAAGAGTCCCAAACCATTGCCATAATCCCAGATAAAAGAGTCCAATCATTGCCCTAATCCTCGATAAAAGAGTCCCAACCATTGTCATAATCCTAGATAAAAGAGTCCCAACCAATGCCATAATCCTAGATAAAAGAGTCCAATCATTGCCCTAATCCCAGATAAAAGAGTCCCAACCATTGCCATAATCCTCGATAAAAGAGTCCCAACCATTGTCATTATTCTAGATAAAAGAGTCCCAACCAATGCCATAATCCCAGATAAAAGAGTCCCAAACCATTGCCCTAATCCCAGATAAAAGAGTCCCAGCCATTGCCCTAATCCTCGATAAAAGCGTCCGAACCATTGCCATAATCCCAGATGAAAGAGTCCCAACCATTGCCATAATCCTAGATAAAAGAGTCCCAACCATTGTCACTATTCTAGATAAAAGAGTCCCAACCATTGCCATAATCCTAGATAAAAGAGTCCCAACCATTGCCATAATCCCAGATAAAAGAGTCCCAACCATTGCCATAATCCCAGATAAAAGAGTCCCAACCAATGCCATAATCCCAGATAAAAGAGTCCAATCATTGCCCTAATCCCAGATAAAAGAGTCCCAACCATTGCCATAATCCTCGATAAAAGAGTCCCAACCATTGTCATTATTCTAGATAAAAGAGTCCCAACCAATGCCATAATCCCAGATAAAAGAGTCCCAAACCATTGCCCTAATCCCAGATAAAAGAGTCCCAGCCATTGCCCTAATCCTCGATAAAAGCGTCCGAACCATTGCCATAATCCCAGATGAAAGAGTCCCAACCATTGCCATAATCCTAGATAAAAGAGTCCCAACCATTGTCACTATTCTAGATAAAAGAGTCCCAACCATTGCCATAATCCTAGATAAAAGAGTCCCAACCATTGCCATAATCCCAGATAAAAGAGTCCCAACCATTGCCATAATCCCAGATAAAAGAGTCCCAACCAATGCCATAATCCCAGATAAAAGAGTCCCAACCAATGCCATAATCCCAGATAAAAGAGTCCCAACCATTGCAATAATCCTCGATAAAAGCGTCCGAACCATTGCCATAATCCTCGATAAAAGCGTCCCAGCCATTGCCATAATCCGCACAAAACCATTTCAAAAGTCGTAATTAAAACTGACAAAATCATTGCCGCTACCAAAATATTCCTATAAAAAGAAAAGAAGGGACAAAACCCGTTCCATAATCATAAATCAAGACGACACAACCATCGCCATCGTCAAAAATAAAAACGTCAAAACTATCCCCATTACCATTAATACAACGACGATTCTCCTTGTCCTTTGACTCGACTGGTACAGCATTCGTCAACCGAATCGTGGCTAGGTAGACACAGGGAATCAGGTGACAATGTCATATTGACAATGTCGCACAAAGTCAGGTATATACATACACATAACTCAAGTATCACCATAAGCATGAAGACGGTTGCCTGAAAGGGTGGCCAGACCAAGATTATATTTTTACAATTTCTCCATTATCTCCCGCCCACATGTCTTGTAACACATGAGTTATTAACAATAGTGATACAAATGTAATTTGACAGGCCAAGCAATAACATGTATAGAAATGCAATGCATCTATTACGTAAAAATACCACTTTATAATATCACTTTTCTTCGTATTCAAACATACACATTGTAGAAAGTGAAGCTCTTTTCTCCATACCTTCAATATTGTATTTGTTACAAGTGTTTGGCCCGGGATGTCAAAATCAACTATCGATTCCAAGGTGTATCATTAAATATATTGACATGTACCTAAAGAACACTATTTAATGTCTAAGTACATTTCAATCTTAGATAATTGGTCCGTTAAAGTGAAGCCATTTTGCCTCTACATGCCCAACATGGTCTCTCTCTCCGACATGTTTGGTCTGTGTTCACTCCGCCGGGGCGAACAAATACATAGTTACAGTTATAGAGCAGTATCACATCCGCCTATATATCCAGTTTCGAGCTGACAGCTTCTTCGGTATTCGTTTGAGGGTGCTGACAAAAGAATTCAGGGTATTGATCTAAAAGTGGACTCTCATAGTTGAAGTAGTTGAAGAACAAAAAGACTTATTTATTTCTGTTACTTGTCATTTTCTGATCACAATGAAATGATGATTTATTTATCAAATATCACATCATATCATCACATCATATCATTTTCTGATCACAATGAAATGATAATTTATTTATCATATATCAGATCATCATATATCATATATCAGGCCTTTCTCGGAAACTTGTCTCCAAACAGCTTGTGTGTAATGGAAAGAGTACCAACGGATATCAGCATCTGGGACCACTGTCTCGATGGCACCAGTGGCATTGGTGGATGCACTAATACCTCTCTACTCAACTAGATATCCTTATAACAAAAGTCGATCAAGGTTAGTATGGCCCTGACCAGTGAGTCAGGCTCATTATAAGAGTATGGGGCTGAATTTTCTAATACCAATTAGCCTACATTGTTTTTGTATGCGATATGGATGAAGGCGAATTGAGATGTAGGCAAATATAGACTAAAGTACTCTCGGAAATAGAAAAGAAGACTGTTTTTCACGTTATATCTACAATTTATGTACTTAATATGTGAAAGTGAAATATCTGTTAAACTAAGTTCGGCCTAACTACAGTCTCAGTGGTACGGGGATGGAAACGTAAAAGAGGACTTTAATGAGGACAAATTTGTGAAAAAATTAGCAATGCTGTCCAATGTACAAAGCGACTTATTTGGAACAGACCATGGCTTTATGCAAATTAGAGTGCGATATTATTGTATTGTATTATTAACCCACATCGGCCCAAGGTCAAGATGACATTTTTCCGATGCAGATGGGGATATCTAGCCACCATTAACTCTTAAACCGTAACATGTGCACGTCGTACTGAGGTTACAGGTGTTTAGCGATAAACGTATTACAACGACGAAACAGATTCGGATGGACGGGAAAGGCAAAACAGTTTATGAATCTTATTAAATAGTGACGATGCTATGCGTTCGCGGAGAGGTGCCCCATGGGTGTAGTGTCACAAACACATAAAGGCACGTGACCTGTTCGCATGAAGAAACACGGGAACATAAGGTACATGAGGAGTGAGTGAGTGAGTTTAGTTTTACTCCGCATTAAGCAATATTGCAGCTATATGGCGGCAGTTTGTAAATAATCGAGTCTGGACCAGACAATCCTATGATCAACAGCATGTGTCAACCAAGTTAGCGAGCCTGACCACCCGATCCCGTTAGTCGCCTCTTACGACAAGCATGGGGTTACTGAAGATCAATTCTAACTGGGATCTTCACGGGTAGGTACATAAGGAATACTACGGTGACACAGTTACAGCGGCCTTAGGTCAAAATACCTGATTAAAATGTAGTAGAATAGAATCAGAGTTACATACTGATAAGCAATATCATAACGGCAATATTGCGTTTATTATTCACGGCTATCACTATGATTGCTATAACCGGACAACGGTTTTCTCATTTTCTCATTTTCAATATCATCTGTGCAGCATATGCTCTGTATCGAATACCTATCATGTGTAATACACAATTAAATCAGCCAAATTGTTGTATTTAAAATACGCGTCTCATTAAGTGTTTTTTTACAAAGCTGGGTTAAAACGCCAAGCAGCTAAGCAGCTCAAGATAGTCGACTGACCTACTTGCGCAATAGTGCAGGCAAACCTCCCTCAATCATCTGCATGTTTCTGTGTCGAGGGACTATTTTTGGAGACTAGAACAGGGTGCGAACTGTGCCATAGGTAAACATTAATGTTCCCCGCTGTTCATGTTGGCAATTATACTGTTGTTCAACCTTTCTGAACTGAACCGGAGTTAACAAAAGACCAGGGGATATTTTTAGCTATCACGTTCAAGAAAACGCGCGTCCTCCAGAGAATAACAATGTAAAAAAAGTAATTCAAAACCACATTTGACCGGTTGTCTGCTCGAAGGCTTTTTTAATATCGTGCGCCGTGATAAGCAATGCTAGCTGCTGATTGTACATCCGACGTGGGTTCAGTAGGTCTGTAGGCGAGACAGCCTCTTTCTCGAAAACCTTCGACTTGGTGAGTTTTAGTTGTAGATTTATGCTTCAGGCATTACTGTGTGTTAAAAATTGCTTTATATAGAGTCAATGGTCATTTTAATATACATGTATCATGCATTGTAGGGTTTCGTGTAATCATAACCATGAAATGTATTTGTGTTATCAGCTGTGCAAGTCAGCATTGACAAGAAGCGTGTACTATCAGCGACATGAGACACAACAGTGTAACTATTTGAACGATATCATCCTTCACGCCTAGTACGTGTTGTCTGTTAGACGATGTCGTGTGTTGTCTTTTGCATGGAATTAAATGTCCATTGTTCGATCGAGCCCAGTCTTACAAGCTGTCCTGAAGTCGTCCTTGGTGTGGGTAAGGGTATGTCTTTCCAAAACTGTTAATGTCACTTCAAATACCGAAAGGGCGGGAAATTCAACTTTCATAGGGAGAAGCCCGTAAGATTAAGATGCTCGGCAACATTTAACTCTCCAAAATTGTTACATGTAGGAGGTGTGCACGTGTGTGTGCGTGTGTCTCTCTCTCTCTCTGTGTGCGCGTGTGTGTCTGTCTGTGTGTGTGTGTGTCTGTCTCTCTGTGTCTTTGTGTGTGTCTCTGTGTGTGTGTGTGCGTCTGTCTGTCTGTGTGTCTCTGTCTGTCTCTCTCTCTGTGCGTGCGTGTGTGTGTGTGTGTGTGTGTGTGTGTGTGTGTGTGTGTGTGTGTGTGTGTGTGTGTGTGTGTGTGTGTGTGTGTGTGTGTGTGTGTGTGATGAGACCATTCGAAAAGGTATGAAACGTTGTTTGTCACCGGAAGAACTATGGTCTCGCGAAGTGCCGTGACCTACTTACCGACCCAATAGTTTTGAGGATGAGTCCAATCACCTTTCTCTTTGAGAAGTTTTCTTCGACCTTTGCAGAACCAAGCAAGGTGATCCTCTGAATGCATGAGAGAACTGAATCAATGAGAAAAGAGAACAGTTCGCAACATCAGTTTCGAATACGATCAGGCCCTGGCACCGGAGTAGATTTCGACTTTTTAATGATCTTTTTCAGGCAATCAGGTGTAATGAAACACACCCATTGCGACATTATTTTTTCATGTACAATAATATTGTGCTCCTCTACCCATGGTTCCTCGAGGCTGCATTTGCTGGTTATAGATCATAGCTGTTTCCAAAACCTTTCAATGGAATCTGATGTAGGTCTTTCCTCATTAGTGCCATTGGTTCCATTAAATGGCCTGTACAATAATTGCTTTTGATCACATTTGAACAGTTTAATTTATTTTAGGAAATTATTTTCCTTGTCCCACTTTCGTTTCCGTTGTATCCAAATCTTAAAGTATTTATGGTTCCATTTAATTTCAATTTAATCAATTTTTTATGTTTTGTCATAGGATGCCCTGTAGTTTTAAGCCATGTTCCACCCGAGATATCTCCGTCCTGTAACAGAGCACATCGAGATGAACGTTCACTTTCACATAACTGATGCAAGTATTTTCAGTGAGGACATTATTTACTACTGTCCTCAATCAATATTTTTATCCTTCTTTTGTTTCAGTTTAAAAAATGAAGTTTGATGAGATATTGATAGAGGTGGGTGAGTTCGGGCCCTATCAGCGCCGGGTGTATTTCCTGGTGTGTTTAGCATGTATCACTTCCGCCGTCCAGACCTTACTTCCGGTGTTTATCCTGGAAATGCCGGAATACAGGTGGGTGTGCAACAAAATACATGTTTTGTCGTCGTGTTTTCACGTGAAACGTTGACTGAACTTGTCACCACAAACAGTTCCTTTCGTTTTGATCTTGCTATCTCAGATACAATATCATGTCATGGCAATTTTGTAAAGGAGTTGCATCATCGGAAATACTCAATGGCAGAAAATATCTTAAAATATAGGAAACCTTCGATACATTAAGACGATGAATCAGTCTTGGATACTCCGACTATACCCTGGCGTATATAGGGTCGCATAATCAAATACTGGATATTGTTATGTATTCACATCAATATGCTTATGATACGCCGCATTTGTAGTTTTACGACATAATACTACTATCACATGGAGAATCATTGTCATTTTCTCTTTTAAGAACTGTATGAATGCATGAACACACAATGCCATTTAGAAAGTGGTCTAATGTAACATGTGTTATATTTGAGATTACACGTTCTTTGCCGCGGTGGCTGATCGGGTTAGGCGGCTGACGTAGTGTGCTGGCGATTAGGTGCCTGACTCTGACGGTGTCTGTTTGAATCCCGAATGGGTTCAACCCAACAAAAGTACAAGAATCTGTACTAGGAAAGTGTAATCTCAAATATAACATATGTATGAATGTACTTTTGCCAGTAGGCCTGGACATGATTACTCTTTCCCGCAAAACCAAACTAGTGTCATCAGTGATTTAGTGATCTATTCACATAATTTCCTTCACAATGTTGCCTTTAAAGTGTCGTGGAACCTGTTGTTCTCAAACCCTAGGCATAATGAATACCATCATTGAACAACACACTGCTACGTACACTCTGCCAGAATAAACTGATGTGGTATATAATATTTCTTGTGGCTTGACAGTTCTACGCTAGATGAATTTCTTGAAGTGATGTGTGTGCGTGCGTGCGTGCGTGCGTGCGTGTGTGTGTGCGCGCGCGCGCGTGCGTGCGTGCGTGTGTTTGTGTTTGTGAGTGTGTGAAAGAGACCATACACAGATTTGATACACTTACTGCAACAGTGACCAAAGCATGCAGACTAACCGTTACACCATTTTCAGGTGCAAGATCCTTACTCTGCCAAACGACACCTACAAGATACAAAGCCTCTATCATGCCTCTCTGGTGAACCAGTCTGTTCCCATGGAAATCGCTGACGAATCAGAGAGCTATGCCTCATGTAGCCTGTATGACGTCACGAACAGTTCTACAACGTCGCAGGGAACAAACCAATCCCAGATAACTTGTCATCGATGGGTGTACGATCAATCGACTTTTACATCTACAGTAATAACCCAGGTACACCATCGATCAACTCCACGGCGAGGAAAGTAGCCAAACGTACCGCTCTCATACATTTCTTAGAATTAAATAATTTACCAAAATATGTCTTTTAGTCTAATGTTTAACTACGTTGGCAGTGTTTCTATTACATTCGGGCAAAACTGTAACGTGTTTATGGTTTATAAACCACACCACCCGAAGACATTATGAAGGATGGATTTCCTGAGCGAAATATATTAATTTTTGTATTGTACGTGTGTGTTCTGGATTATCATCTAACGACAGGGGTAAAAATGTATCAAAATAGTAGTGACGGACAGGACTTGATGTGACTGGGTCCCAGTATCGTGTGTTCGAATCCCACCATCGCATTGATCATAAATTATGTGACCCAGGGTTTGTCCACACCATCCAGTGCACGTGGACTTCGCACAAACTAAAAACGTTTACTATCTGTGCCATCTAACTCACAGTCGGGTTAAGGAAATAACCAAGCGGTGACAAAGGCAATGAACCTCTAGTCATACAGTAAAAGCCTGACAGAAATGGTACATAAAGCGGGGCTTACCTTCACCTTTACTTAAACGTCTTCATCACGATGATCAGTTTCCATTTCAGTTTGACATGGTGTGTGACCACGCCTCTTTCCGCTCCCATCTCAACATGGTTGGTTTCGGGGGAATGCTGACAGGGGCTGTCGCCTTTGGGATCATCTCAGACATGTGAGCGTTCTAGGAACGGCTGTAGTCAGTTATCCTTTAATATTCAGATAAAGACCTTAAACTCTCATGTTTCACGTGCGATAGACTTGAATTTGACATGACAGGCATGTATCAGTGCCAGAGATGGTGTCCGATACAGTTCCCCTTTCTTCTCAGTACCTATGTGTTTTCAAATACTTGGTAAATAGTTGACTTTGCATGTATTTTGTGGCTCCCATCAGTACGACACTACGCTCATTGTTTGCAGACACCTGGTGTCATTACATAGAGGATATTATATGAGTGCCCATGTCATACTATGTTTACGACACGAGTGACTAAATGTTGGTATTTCCCGAGCGAGAGCGATATGCCGATATTTAGGCACGAGTGTCGTAAACATAGTATGATATGGGCACGAATATAATATTCTGTTTATTACCGAAGTCGTCAAATTGAGGAAAATAAACCCAAATCTACTTTCAAACACAGGCTTGCTATCCGCCGTTGCCACATGTAGAAAACGCAACGCCACACAAGAAACGTGACGTCATAGCCTTGTTCATGACGTCACGTCACCATGACAAAGTGATATTTTGCCCTAGGGCAACGTATGAAAAATATGAACCCCGATATGTTCGCCCTCGTAGGTAATAATGCTTAATACGAACTCTTGCTCATCTTACAGTCGATTTTGCTTTCAGCAGTCATCTCTGATGAATATTGAAACTTTTGTTTTGTTGCTTTTGTTACATGTATGATGGACATTTCATAGACTCTAATGTTACACGTGTGATAGACATGCCTTCAGATCTAATGTTACACGTGTGATAGACATGCCTTCAGATCTAATGTTACACGTGTGATAGACATGCCTTCGGATCTAATGTTACACGTGTGATAGACATGCCTTCCGATCTAATGTTACATGTGTGATAGACATACCTTCGAATCTGATGTTACACGTGTGATAGACATGCCTTCGGATCTAATGTTACACGTGTGATAGACATGCCTTCGGATCTAATGTTACACGTGTGATAGACATGCCTTCAGATCTAATGTTACACGTGTGATAGACATGCCTTCGGATCTAATGTTACACGTGTGATAGACATGCCTTCAGATCTAATGTTACACGTGTGATAGACATGCCTTCGGATCTGATGTTACACGTGTGATAGACCTGCCTTCGGATCTGATGTTACACGTGTGATAGACATGCCTTCGAATCTGACGTTACACGTGTGATAGACATGCCTTCGGATCTAATGTTACACGTGTGATAGACATGCCTTCGGATCTGACATTACACATGTTATAAACATGCCTTTGGATTTAATGCTACACATGTGATAGACATGCCTTCAGATCTGATGTTACACATGTGATAGACATGCCTTCGGCTCTGATGTTACACGTGTGATAGACATGCCTTCGGCTCTGATGTTACACATGTGATAAACATGCCTTTGGATCTGATGTTACACATGTGATAGACATGCCTTCGGATCTGATGTTACACGTGTGTTAGACATGTCTTCGGCTCTAATGTTACACATGTTATAGACATGCCTTCGGCTCTGATGTTACACATGTGATAGACATGCCTTCGGATCTGATGTTTCACGTGTGATAGACATGCCTTCGGATCTAATGTCACACACGTGATAGATATGCCTTCGGATCTACTGTCACACATGTGATAGATATGCCTTCGGCTCTGATGTTACACATGTGATAGACATGCCCTCGAATTTGACGTTACACGTGTGATAGACATGCCTTCATATCTAATGTTACATGTGTGATAGACATGCCTTCGGATCTGATGTTACACGTGTGATAGACATGCCTTCAGATCTGTTACACGTGTTACATCGATGTTACACGTGTGATAGACATGCCTTTGGATCTAATGTTACACGTGTGATAGACATGCCTTCGGATCTAATGTTACATGTGTGATAGACATGCCTTCGGATCTGATGTTACATGTGTGATAGACATGCCTTCGAATCTGACGTTACACGTGTGATAGACATGCCTTCGGATCTAATGTTACACGTGTGATAGACATGCCTTCGGATCTGACATTACATTTGTGATAAACATGCCTTCGGATCTAATGTTACACATGTGATAGACAAGCCTTCAGATCTAATGTTACACATGTGATAGACATGCCTTCGGCTCTAATGTTACACATGTGATAGACATGCCTTCGGCTCTGATGTTACACATGTGATAAACATGCCTTTGGATCTGATGTTACACATGTGATAGACATGCCTTCGGATCTGATGCTACACGTGTGTTAGACATGTCTTCGGCTCTAATGTTACACGTGTGATAGACATGCCTTCGGCTCTGATGTTACACATGTGATAGACATGCCTTCGGCTCTGATGTTACACATGTGATAGACATGCCTTCGGCTCTGATGTTACACATGTGATAGACATGCCTTCGGCTCTGATGTTACACATGTGATAGACAAGCCTTCAGATCTGATGTTACACATGTGATAGACAAGCCTTCAGATCTAATGTTACACATGTGATAGACAAGCCTTCAGATCTGATGTTACACATGTGATAGACATGCCTTCGGCTCTGATGTTACACATGTGATAGACAAGCCTTCAGATCTGATGTTACACATGTGATAGACATGCCTTCAGATCTAATGTTACACATGTGATAGACATGCCTTCGGCTCTGATGTTACACGTGTGATAGACATGCCTTCAGATCTGTTGTTACACATGTGATAGACATGCCTTCGGCTCTGATGTTACACATGTGATAGACATGTCTTCGGCTCTAATGTTACACATGTGATAGACATGCCTTCAGATCTGATGTTACACATGTGGTAAACATGCCTTCGGCTCTGATGTTACACATGTGATAGACAAGCCTTCGGATCTGATGTTACACGTGTGATAGACAAGCCTTCGGATCTAATGTCACACACGTGATAGATATGCCTTCGGATCTACTGTCACACATGTGATAGACATGCCTTCGGATCTAATACATACATACATACATACATACATACAAATACTTATATAGCGCCAATATCCGTAATCCGCTCAAAGGCGCTCTGGCTCTAAGATGGTCAAGATATCACATATAGTTCAAATGCTTCACCAAAGAGACATAATATCTTCAGATTTGATTTAAAAACAGCTAAATCTGGTTGTGTTCTGAGGTGAGATGGAAGATTGTTCCAGAGATGAGGCCCAGCCATCTCAAAGAAGTGACCTGTCACCATATGTTTTGTCCTAGTCACAGGAATTGTCAAAAGACACTGGTCATTTGATCGGAGAGAACGTACAGCAGTATAACGGTGGAACAGATCACAGAGGTACTGAGGAGCTAGACCATGTAAACTTTTAAAACAAGGAGTAGAGTTTTATATTTTATGCGGTAGTGGACGGGAAGCCAATGAAGTGTGAAGAACAGGAGTAATGTGGTCCGATTTCTTTGACAGAGAGACCACTCTGGCTGCAGTATTCTGCACCTTCTGAAGCTTGTTGTATAAGATTGTTTGGGAGGCCAGCAAGAAGCGCATTACAGTAGTCAAGACGAGATGTTACATATGCCTGAACAAGAGATGCTGTAGTCTTGACGTCCAGGTATCGTCGAATCATGCCGATGTTACGAATGTGGTAGTACGCCCTTCGACAGATGTTATTGATGTGTGGCTCCATGGACAGTGAAGAATCAAAAAATAAGTCCCAAGTTTCGCACCTCATGGTTTGGCTGAATCTCACACTGACCGATGCTGAATTTAGGAAGAGAGATACTGGGTTGGAGACGCTTAGGGTGGAAAACTATGAGTTCAGTTTTATCATCATTCAGTTTGAGGTAGTGTGACGACATCCAGATTTTGATGCAGCTAACACACTCTTTCAATGGTGAGAAATGAAGACACAGCTGATGAGGAAAGTAAGGGTTTGAATGATATGTAAATTTGAGTGTCGTCAGCATATAAATGCAGTCCAAGGTTGAAGGATCTGACGATATCACATGTGATAAACATGCCTTTAAATCTGATGTTACACATGTGATAGACATGCCTTCGGATCTGATGCTACACGTGTGTTAGACATGTCTTCGGCTCTAATGTTACACGTGTGATAGACATGCCTTCGGCTCTGATGTTACACATGTGATAGACATGCCTTCGGCTCTGATGTTACACATGTGATAGACATGCCTTCGGCTCTGATGTTACACATGTGATAGACATGCCTTCGGCTCTGATGTTACACATGTGATAGACACGCCTTCAGATCTGATGTTACACATGTGATAGACAAGCCTTCAGATCTAATGTTACACATGTGATAGACAAGCCTTCAGATCTGATGTTACACATGTGATAGACATGCCTTCGGCTCTGATGTTACACATGTGATAGACAAGCCTTCAGATCTGATGTTACACATGTGATAGACATGCCTTCAGATCTAATGTTACACATGTGATAGACATGCCTTCGGCTCTGATGTTACACGTGTGATAGACATGCCTTCAGATCTGTTGTTACACATGTGATAGACATGCCTTCGGCTCTGATGTTACACATGTGATAGACATGTCTTCGGCTCTAATGTTACACATGTGATAGACATGCCTTCAGATCTGATGTTACACATGTGGTAAACATGCCTTCGGCTCTGATGTTACACATGTGATAGACAAGCCTTCGGATCTGATGTTACACGTGTGATAGACAAGCCTTCGGATCTAATGTCACACACGTGATAGATATGCCTTCGGATCTACTGTCACACATGTGATAGACATGCCTTCGGATCTAATGTCACACACGTGATAGATATGCCTTCGGATCTACTGTCACACATGTGATAGATATGCCTTCGGCTCTAATGTCACACATGTGATAGACATGTCTTCGGATCTAATGCTACACGTGTGATCAACATGAGAAACTTTGAGATAGAACTCTAAATGTAACTCAACTACGGCTCAGTATATACCCGACTTATGTCCTCACAGTGTTGGACGCAAGTTGACTCTCCTGGCCAGTGGTGTCATCCAGATGGTGTCCGGCATCGCTCTAGCTTTCTCTCCAAACTTCATCGTGTTCGCTGTGTTCCGATTCTTCACGGGGATAGCGGCCATGTCTACATTCATGATTGCCTTTGTTATAGGTGAGTTGGACAGTGAATGATTTGCTATTTTACGGATACAATGGTCGTGTTGTTTGTCCTTTTGGTCCTACTTTTCCCTGTATATTTTATTAGGTGTCGAGTTAAATTCTGGAATTAGCATTCATCATGGGCCATTGCACCCAAGAAGGTAATCGGGCATCTAGATGCGTGTAAAAGTGGACGGCTTAGGTTATCATGTAATGCCTCCACGAGTGTGGCTGCATATATACGTTGTCAATGACCATGGCGTTCTTGTTTGGTCCAAAATAATTTCCTGTGCATATGCCCCGACCCTGGTCCCGGTATCGATGTTAATGTTTTAAAGAAAACATGAAATAAATGGAGCAAGAGGGCTCGGGCGATTCTTGCAGTCTGGTTCGGCTCATCAGCAGCTCAAAACTTGGTTTCCACGTGCACTGACAAGGTGTTGGGCAGTCTCATTAAATTTTGTGCATAATCCACCTTTGTATTTATGTTGAAGCAAAAATGACTGCCTGATAATGCCTTCGGTCTGACTTTTCATTCAAGTCATTTTCATCCAATCAAAGACCTCTGTAGGGCCGGTGTTCTCATCACACTGCACATCAATCCGATGCAGTGGTCGTTCAGAGAGCATTCCTGATTTGATATGGCACTTCGCCAGGTTGACCTGATTTAAAGGTTCACAATAATTTGTCACTGAAGAAATGTCCGGTGTATTGAAAAAGCATTATGAGAAATACTGTTACTAATAGTTGCTTAATGGCAGAGATATATCTTGAGAGCAGTTCTGATAGTGGACTAGGTAAGAGAAGAGTTCAAGGGGAAGAGTGTTCCATTGACAGTAACATTCCGTTACTAACCGGTTTCACTATTGCAACAAGAAACATGCTAGTTGTTTGTGAATAGTGTTTACAGGCAACCAGAGGGATATAAAACCGATCCATTGCTGTGCAGGAAGCCACTCACGCCCCTTCAGGATGGGAGTGATGTGCTGGTAATTAGGGGTTAGATGTACAAGCCTTGCTCTTGGTGACTTGCAATCTTCTGAGAAGTGTTTTGGAAAACCAGAAAGAGGCTATTACAGTAATCGATCGTCTTCGTGAAATCCTTAGTGACGTACGATATGACTTTACCAATGTTTCTCACTGCTTTGTTTGGCTGTTGTTCAACGCCGCAATCAGCGATAGTCCAGCTATATATGGGATTTTTTATTATGTTTGAATCTGGAACAGACAATCCAGTGATTGATATTTCTAGCATCGATCTACGCAATACAGATACGATGTCAACTGTTCGATCAGGTTGATAAATTTCAGGGTTTCTGTAAAGTTATCCAAATTGTTTGGTTGACCTGAGTTCTTCTCTGAGGAGAACATGTTGATGATTTTACAAATAGTTTTGTTTCTTTAAGATTTTTTAATATTAATTCCAGATTGATTGATACATTTCAGGACTTGAACTCGTTGGTCCCTCAAAACGAACCATTGCAGGAATTGCCATACAGTTCTTCTGGTGCTTTGGTCTGTTTTTGCTGGCGTTAGTGGCCTACTTCATCAGAGAGTGGAAATATCTCCAGATCGTCTTGTCCATCCCTTCGGTGTTCTTTATAGCATATTGGTGGTAAGGAAACGGGCCACCGCCAGTTACTTTTGTGATAGTTGGGTGAATGTTTGCACGCGTTCGTCCCGGTGTGCACTTGCGGATGTAGAGGGACGGGAGAGGGGATCAAGGAGTGACAATCAGTGCTTCAAAACGTAACGGTTGTGTTCATTTTCTGTTTTAAAACATAAGTCTACTTACCTCTATAAACCTATCTTGGAGAAAAGAGACTATATTTCGAAATGACTCATGTTTTGCTTCTATACTCAAATGACAGGGTTATACCAGAATCTCCAAGATGGCTGCTGTCACGTGGTCGGGTGGATGAAGCGGAAGTAATTCTAAAGAAATTAGCTCGCGTCAATGGCCGATCTCTGCCGAAGGACGCCATAAAGCGCCTGGTGCTCGAGAAGGGCCCACAGATGAAAATATGGCACATGTTCACCTCTCCCGTCCTCATTGTGAGGGGAATTGTCATATTCTGTCAGTGGTAAGCTAACAATATTATTCATTGTTCATTTACGGCATATAGGTTAACGAATGCAGAAAATTTTTGTTCTTCATGAACTTACACTCAACCGAAGGCTCGGGGAATTATTATTACTATTATATGTTGTTATGTGTTATTCCCTGGTCGAGACCTCACCAGAAATAAGTTAAGATTAAGCACTGGGCGTGAAACCAACCAACAACAAAACAATGTGATATAAATAACAACTGCATTCTGAGATGATTATCAGAACTACATTTACAGATTCATTTCATGTCACTACAGAGGCGACCCGTGAAGATCCGGGGTAGAATAGGTCTAAACTCACTCACTACAAAGGCATTGCAGTGCCAATACACATAGAGTGGCTGTACAAATTCAAACTCAGTATAGTACCGAAGCCGGGATTATAGCACTAAAGACAGAGATGGTAACATCCACGTTACTGCAACAATAGTCAAGCTTCCAAGACAGTCGTAGGCTGAGTAGGCAGGGTAAGAATGATTTCCGCACAACTGCTGGTCTTCTTGTAACCTGAGATGTAATGTGTGATGATTTTCATAGAGCACACCACTGCCACCTTACTGAATGTCAACAGGTACAATATATTACACTTGCAACAATGTTACATAATGTACAACACCGCCACATAATATTGTATATCAGTTGAAGGATGTTTCATCGGGACAATCACTGACGTGTGCTGTACAGCAGAAATGCTCTTAGCTTCACAAGTGAATGCATGTGGGGCCGAAGACCCGGGTTCCAATCCCCACATGGGTAAAATGTGTGAAGCCCATTTCTGGTGTCCCCCGCCGTGATGTTGCTGGAATATTGCTAAAACGGCGTAAAACCAAACTCAGTCAGTGAGTCATGCGGGATTTTTGAAGGCAATTGTAACTGAAGCTGAACATTGGCCTGTTTATCGACGCTGTCAGAACGTCAGGCCAGACCGACGCGTCTTCTTAACGTTTGTCCTACTAGTGATTCCAACCTACAACATCTTTATTGATGTCTCTCGAATGTTTTGAGGAAAGTTATCATTTATATTTGGCTGATTTTGTTTCTAGCAATTGCATTGCCTTATGCTTTCTTCCGACATTAACATGATACGAAGTGATATAACTAAAATACTTTTGATCGGCATTACACCCAATTCACATTTCTCATTCAGTGTGTTTTCTGACACAGGCTTGCTATCAACATAATCTACTACGGCCTCAGTCTGAACGTCAGCAACCTCAGCGGAGACGTCTTCCTCAACTTCACCTTCTCCTCCGCCGTAGAGACAGCTGCTTATGTCATGTGCATTTTTCTCATGGAGAGGACGGGGAGAAAGAAACTATACTTTGCTAACATGATTCTTGGTGGAGTGGCATGCATTGCCACAGTGTTCCCAGTTATCTATGGTAACAAGTGTGAGTATGTCTGAAATCATCGCCTGGTTTGTCATGCTGTTTGTTCAAAGTGACGCAGGTTATTTAGGCTCTGTTCCCAAATTAACATGAGATAAATGAGATTGGAAACAAATACCAATTGTCCAAGTCCACTTACCGTGGTGACCTTCCTCTGTTCATCATGCTGAGAGACGGGACAGGGCGGAACTGTTAACCAAACTGCTATTTCTCAAAGTAACGTGTATTGGGATTAGTCCTAGAAGAATAAGAACATATTGGGATATATATATTGCTTGTAGTTGCTACTTTCTCCTCACTATCCGATCACATGGTGTCAAAACAGAGGACACAAGTGGGATATTCACTGTGAGGAATTACGTAATCTCTCACGAAGAGTTTGATTTCCCTGATGATGTGTCTAGGTACATCAGCACCGGACATTGCTGATAGGTAAACAGGTAAATATGTAAGACCTTCATCTCATTAGGCGTTCCTTACGCATGGGTCTGACACGTCGTGTTATACTGGAGTTAAACCAAACTCACTAACTCACTGAAACATCCTCCTTGCTGCAGCACACACGTGGATCACGGTTACCCTGGCTATGGTCGGCAAGTTTGGGGCGTCAGCGGCTTTCGCAGTGTTGTATGTCTTCTCTTGTGAGATCTTCCCGACGGTCGTGCGTCAGTCTGGCATCGGGGTGTGTTCTATATTTGAAGGCACTGGCGGCATGGTGGCCCCATATATAGCAGACCTGGTAAGGTTATAACCTGTAATTTTGTCTTCATCAGAATTGATCCAGTCTGAAAGCAATTTAAATATTTGTTGTCCAAATTACTAGCCCTTCGTGGACCCGTTTGGATCTGTCCATAGGTTTCAACTGGTCCCAGGTTGCGTATACATGCAATGCTAAATATTATGTGTCTGCGAATGTGTTTACCTCCTCTCTTCCGTATGCATATATACATATGTTACAGATGTTGTACTTAAGAAAATATATCTGTCAAAATAGTGTTTAATAAACACTCCGGTCTTCCATCTTAAAACACAAATATTTCTGGAAACTGTTTTCCGTTAGCACGAGTAACAGTCAACTGTATGGTTGTATTTTGTTTATCCACATCGTTAATAAACAACATTCATGCATTTTTTAAGCTCACTGAATACAATGTTTATTATAATACACGACACTTGCCATGCGACATTACTGGCGGGATAACCTTAATATGCTGTGGGGGACATTTGTCGGGACGCGAGTGGAACCCAGTTGGTAAAACCGTTCATAATAAGTTGTTGTGTTTGCCCTCTCTAAAACAAAAGTGAGGCCAGTTTACTAAATGTCTCTTTTGACAAACTGGATCACATTTTGGTTGAATGACAAAATGCAAGGTGAATTCCTCAATGAGTTATGGTGGCCAGTATATTTTTGTCACATTCATAAAGTCAAGCCCAAATCCTTCCCATCGTATTGCAGGGTATTATATTTGGGGGACACTTAGCGGAAGCTCTGCCACTCATCGTGTTCGGGGTTGTAACTGTTGCTGCGGGGCTGCTGTCGTTAGTACTTCCGGAAACAAAGAACAAGAAGCTACCAGAAACCATTGAAGATGCTATATTGTTCGGAAGGTATTGCGGGTGTTCAATATAATAAACAGCGTATTGTATAGCAATGTCTTTGTTAAGAGACAGAATGGTTTCCATGCTCTTGATTGTTTGACGTAAATCGCGACATGCCATCGTACAGTATTGTCGAACCTGTTGCAACTAGATTATTTACTGGTCTTCGTAATCGTTGGTATCTTGTTGACACTTGATAACTATGATAGATGTAACACATTATGAACGCCAGCTGCCAATATTGTTTAGTTTTCCCAACTTGAAATTGACTGATATTATAATCTTGGTGCGAAATCCTGACTTTATTTCATTTTACAAGCCCCTCCCCGTACACATCTGTTGCCTTTAAATGTTCTGTAAACATGTTGCACCACTGTACAATAATTCAGTTTATAACGTTCAGGAATGATTTCGTTCTGCCATATTCAGGAACGAAAGGTCAAACACCAACGCCTACGACCCAATACCATCATCAAATACCAGGGAAAAGGTGGACGATTCCAGTATATAGTGATGCCAAGCGTTGTAAAAGCGACACCCGCGACGTCATCTCAAGGTTCAGATGCATTGACGGATCTGACAAGGATGCATGCGACCGTATCAAGAAGAAGTCATCGGCATAATGTTTCAACAATACTTCATCCATCACAGATCTTCTTTCATATCCACGTATATTTAATGATACAAGCAGGTGCTTTTGCAGATATCTATCATCAACAATAAGTATCTACTGACCAAAGATTTCAAGAGAAAATGTTTATTGTTACACATATAATGTGACGGATATTTTACAGGCCATTAAATTAGTCTCCAAACGCTTTGTGTCGTTTTGAAATATCTTAAACCATTATAACAGACCGTCAACAAAACATTAAGAGTATTGCGTGACACTGTGTGAGACAAGATTCCTAGTACCCAATGTGTGTCGTATTGTGTAATACCGTGTCAAACTCTGACCCCAGTACCCACTGTGTGTCGTAGTGTGTGATACCGTGTCAAACTCTGACCCCAGTACCCACTGTGTATCGTATTATATGATACTGTGTCAAACTCTGACCCCAGTACCCACTGTGTGTCGTATTGTGTGCTACTGTGTCAAACTTGGACCCCAGTACCCACTGTGTGTCGTAGTGTGTGAAACCGTGTCAAACTCTGACCCCAGTACCCACTGTGTGTCGTATTGTGTGATACTGTGTCAAACTTGGACCCCAGTACCCACTGTGTGTCGTAATTTGTGATACCGTGTCAAACTCTGACCCCAGTACCCAATGTGTGTCGTATTGCGTGATACCGTGTCAAACTCTGACCCCAGTACCCACTGTGTGTCGTATTGTGTGAGACTGTGTCAAACTCTGACCCCAGTACACACTGTGTGTCGTATTGTGTGATACTGTGTCAAACTCTGACCCCAGTACCCACTGTGTGTCGTAGTGTGTGATACCGTGTCAAACTCTGACCCCAGTACCCACTGTGTGTCGTATTGTGTGATACTGTGTCAAACTTGGACCCCAGTACCCAATGTGTGTCGTATTTTGTGATACCGTGTCAAACTCTGACCCCAGTACCCAATGTGTGTCGTATTGTGAGATACCGTGTCAAACTCTGACCCCAGTACCCCATGTGTGTTGGATTGTGTGATACTGTGTCACACCTGTACACCGATACCCCATGTGTGTCATAGTGTATGATACCGTGTCAAACGTTGACCCCAGAACCAAATGTGTGTTGTATTGTGTGATACCGTGTCAAACTCTGACCCCAGTACCCACTGTGTGTCGTATTGTGTGATACTGGGTCAAACTCTGACCCCGGTACCCCATGTGTGTCGTATTGTGTGATACTGTGTCACACTTGGACACCGATACCTGATGTGTGTCATAGTGTGTTATACCATGTCAAACGTTGACCCCAGAACCAAATGTGTGTTGTATTGTGTGATACTGTGTCAAACTCTGACCCCAGTACCCAATGTGTGTCGTATTGTGTGATACTGGGTCAAACATGGACACCGATACCCCATGTGTGTCATAGTGTGTTATACCGTGTCAAACGCTGACCCCAGAACCAAATGTGTGTTGTATTGTGTGATACTGTGTCAAACTTGGACCCCAGTACCCACTGTGTGTTGTATTGTGTGATACTGGGTCACACTTGGACACCGATACCTGATGTGTGTCGTATTGTGTGATACTGTGTCCAACTCTGACCCCAGTACCCCATGTGTGTCATAGTGTGTGATAGCGTGTCAAACTATGACCCCAGTACCCAATGTGTGTCGTATTGTGTGATACTTTGTCAAACTTGGACCCCAGTACCCAATGTGTGTTGTATTGTGTGATACTGGGTCAAACTTTGACCCCAGTACCCCATGTGTGTCGTATTGTGTGATACTGTGTCACACTTGGACACCGATACCCCATGTGTGTCATTGTGTATGATACCGTGTCAATTTTTGACCCCAGAACCAAATGTGTGTTGTATTGTGTAATATTGTGTCAAACTTGGACCCCAGTACCCAATGTGTGTTGTATTGTGTGATACTGTGTCAAACTTGGACCCAGTACCCCATGTGTGTCGTATTGTGTGATAGCGTGTCAAACTTGGACCCTAGTACCCCGTCTGTGTTGTATTGTGTGATACCGTGTCAAACTCTGACCCCAGTACCCCATGTGTGTTTTATAGTGTGATACTCTGTCAAACGTGGACCCCAGTACCCAATGTGTGTCGTATTGTGTGATACTGTGTCAAACGCTGACCCCAGTACCCCATGTGTGTCGTATTGTGTGATACCGTGTCAAACTTGGACCCCAGTACCCAATGTGCGTCGTATTATGTAATACCTGGTCAGGCTATGTCCCCAGTACCCAAAATCTGTGGTATTATGTGATAGCGTGACAGGAACCCATGTCTGTCATATTATTATCCCACCGGCATGTAATGCGGTGGGATATAGTCGTCGCCTCGTCCGTCCGTCCGTCCGTCCGTAATCATTTTGTTTCCGGAGCATAACTCAAAGACCGTTCAATATTTTTCAACAAAAATTGGTAGATATGTCAAACATAACCTAAGGTGGTGCCTTTTGCTATTTACAGATTATTGTCATTTTTATTTTTCTCGGTTTCCATGGAAACGTTTTGGACGGTAAGTAAGGATTGCTTTCGTTTCCGGAGCACAACTCAAATTATTGTCATTTTTATTTTTCTCGGTTTCCATGGAAACGTTTTGGACTTAGTCTTAAAGAAGGGTGGGCTTCGTTTCCGGAGCATAACTCAAAAACCGTTCAATATTTTTCAACAAAACTTGGTAGATATATCAAACAGAGCCTTAAGTGGTGCCTTTTGCTATTTGCAAATTTTTTTCATTTTAATTTTTCTCAGTTTCCATGGAAACATTTTGGACGGTAAGTAAGGATTGCTTTCGTTTCCGGAGCATAACTCAAAAACCGTTCAATATTTTTCAACAAAACTTGGTAGATATATCAAACAGAGCCTTAAGTGGTGCCTTTTGCTATTTGCAATTTTTTTTCATTTTTATTTTTCTCAGTTTCCATGGAAACATTTTGGACGGTAAGTAAGGATTGCTTTCGTTTCCGGAGCACAACTCAAAAACCGTATAATATTTTTCAACAAAACTGGGTAGAAATATCAAACAGATCCTAAAGTTGTGCCTTTTGCTATTTGCAGATTTTTGGCATTTTTATTTTTCCCGGTTTCCATGGAAACGATTCGGGCTTAGTTCCAAAAGTGAGGGGTTGGCTTCGTTTCCGGAGCACAACTCGAAAACTTCTCAATATCTTTCAGGAAAACTTGGCAGATATGTGAGGCCGATGCCAAAGTGGTGCCTTTTGCTATTTGGCAGAATTTTGGCATATGTATTTTTCCCGACTTTCATGAAAAAGGATTCGGACTTAATCCCAAAAGGGAGGGTGTGCTTCGTTTCCGGAGTATAACTCAAGAACCGTTCAATATATTTCAACACAACTTGGTAGATATATTAAACAGAACCTTAAGTGGTGCCTTTTCTATTTGCAGATTTTTGGCATTTTTATTTTTCCCGGTTTCCATGGAAACGATTCGGACTTAGTCTCAAAAGGGAGGGGTGGGTTTCGTTTCCGGAGCACAACTCGAAACTTCTCAATATCTTTCAGCAAACCCTGTCAGATATGTGAGGCAGATCTTCAAGTGGTGCCTTTTGCTATTTGCAGATTTTTGTGATTTATTATTTTCTCAGTTTCCATGGAAACAATTCGGACTTAGTCTCAAAAGGGAGGGGTAGGTTTTGTTTCCGGAGCACAACGCGAAAACTTCTTAATATCTTTTAGCAAAACTTGGCAGATATGTGAGGCAGATCCCAAAGTGGTGCCTTTTGCTATTTGCAGATTTTTGACTCATGATTTCCATGGAAACGATTTGCACTTAGTCTAAAATCAAGCTGGACTTTAAGTAACTGTCAGATGATTTGTTCTTTCAAAGATGTGGGGGCCGGGGGGATATGTCATCTTCTGATGACTCTTGTCTGTATCAGTCTAGGTCCCATTGCCATGCTTGTCGTCTTATCACAGCTAGCGATTGAACACGCCAACCATCCCCGTACCTGGTGGTCACGTACGGACGCTGATTACAACGTTTATAACGGCAGAGAAGGTCAAGGTGAGGTTGAAGCTGCCTGCATGTATTATGATGATTTATCTGATCCCTCGGTATTGTGTACCGAGATACTTCTTGTTGATCTTTGTGTCAACTAAACACTTCTACAATCTGAGCTTGAAGTTACTCTGTACACATCGCGAGCGTTGAGTGCCTGAGGTTATTCACCTGTCTCCTCGTGACCTGGGTACACAGGTATTTTCGTAAAGCTGCCCACATTGGAGTGGGGCGGGGAACCACTCGTCACAGCATCAACCTAGGCTGTGGTGACGCTACATGAGTGGTGACATGTCTGCTAAGAGCACTCTACGATTCCTGCCATAGTACCACTGTAACCAACAACATCGTAGATACAGTAGATACCTTTTCTCGTCGTTTTTGTACATATTTTGCAGGACAATAGAAAGCTTGCATTTTATACTTTGATTTGTACAAATCATGTCAAAAGTTATCCAAACCTTACGAAACACAGGAAACATAAAGTCCAGATACATCACTACAGTACAAATACCCAACCAAATACATTACCACAGTCCAAATACCCAACCAAATACATCAGTACAGTACAATATCCAACCAAATACATCACCACAGTACAAAAACCCAACAAAATACATCACTACAGTACAAATACCTAACCAAATACATCAGTACAGTACAAATACCTAACCAAATACATCAGTACAGTAGAAATACCCAACCAAATACATCACCACAGTACAAATACCTAACCAAATACATCAGTACAGTAGAAATACCCAACCAAATACATCAGTACAGTACAAATACCAACCAAATACATCAGTACAGTACAAATACCCAACCAAATACATCGCCACAGTACAAATACCCAACCAAATACATCACTACAGTACAAATACCTAACCAAATACATCAGTACAGTACAATACCCAACCAAATACATCACCACAGTACAAATACCTAACCAAATACATCACCACAGTACAAATACCCAACCAAATACATCGCCACAGTACAATACCCAACCAAATACATCAGTACAGTACAATACCCAACCAAATACATCACCACAGTACAAATACCTAACCAAATACATCACCACAGTACAAATACCTAACCAAATACATCAGTACAGTACAATACCCAACCAAATACATCGCCACAGTACAAATACCCAACCAAATACATCAGTACAGTACAAATACCTAACCAAATACATCAGTACAGTACAAATACCCAACCAAATACATCAGTACAGTACAAATACCTAACCAAATACATCAGTACAGTACAAATACCTAACCAAATACATCAGTACAGTACAAATACCCAACCAAATACATCAGTACAGTACAAATACCCAACCAAATACATCAGTACAGTACAAATATCCAACCAAATACATCAGTACAGTACAAATATCCAACCAAATACATCAGTACAGTACAAATACCCAACCAAATACATCAGTACAGTACAAATACCTAACCAAATACATCACCACAGTACAAATACCTAACCAAATACATCAGTACAGTACAAATATCCAACCAAATACATCAGTACAGTAGAAATACCCAACCAAATACATCAGTACAGTACAAATACCCAACCAAATACATCAGTACAGTAGAAATACCCAACCAAATACATCAGTACAGTAGAAAAACCCAACCAAATACATCACCACAGTACAATACCCAACCAAATACATCACCACAGTACAAATATCCAACCAAATACATCAGTACAGTACAAATATCCAACCAAATACATCACCACAGTACAAATACCCAACCAAATACATCACCACAGTACAAATACCCAATCCAATACATCAGTACAGTACAAATACCCAACCAAATACATCACCACAGTACAAATACCCAACCAAATACATCACCACAGTGCAAATACCCAACCAAATACATCACTGCAACACGAATAGTCAACCAAATACACCGCCGTCGAGTATTTGTTCATTTTAGCCACCATTTAATATGAGTGTGTGCTTTCCTATACTAGCATCAGACTGTATTACCCGAGGGAGAAGCATGCAACATATTTAACTTACCGCCATGTTAAATGTACAAAAATCATTTTATTTTATGTTAAAGATCGTGTTAAAGACATGCAAACAAAATGGTGTCTGCCTCTCGACTGGATTTTTAACGTCAGTGAAACATATTCTGACAAGCATAAAACTGCTATAAAAATTGTTTATTATGTTTGTGCTGGGTGTGCAAACCACTCAATGTATAAAATAGCTTAAATAAAGCAGTGCAAGTCGGTAAAATAAATCTGTACAAAGTGAACTCAAAAACAGCTGATCGAATGGTTTCGAACACTGGGTACGGCATGCGTCATATTATGACGTCATACGATTGTTAGCGCTTCAGCTTCTCGGCGGAGAGCTTGACGGTTACCGTGGCAGCGGTAATATTTTTTCCAGACACGGAAACTTGTTAAACCGTTACTGACCAATGAAATTAAAGTATTTTACATGAAGGTGAGATAAATGTCAGTGTGATATCTCCCTTAATATAACGCATGTAGATATCAACAAGCCGGCGAGAACAGTGCTTTCAGAAGGGTTTTCACTCATACCTCTATTCTTTATTTAATATTCTAAGATGCCTAGCGGTTAGAACAATCGGAAAAAAAATACATTATCAGACAATAAAGGTATAGTTTTTTGATGACGTAACAATTGAATGACGTTATCCCGTCACTGCGCCATTCTAGTGTCCCCCTCGTAATCGAACCATTTTACATTACGTCACAATGTAAGCGACGTCACGATGCATGTCAGTTGTTTGTTATGATCACGAATCTGGAATCGGGTAGGACGCAAGCGTCCTCGTGCTTTAACTATAATAGTTCAGGGCAAAAGTGTGTTTTATTACACTATACATGGTGGTAGAGAGAAGTGTATTTCTTAAGTAACTCATAGTCTAGTCAACTTCTATCTTGTATACGTTAGTACGGACGTAAAAATGTCATGCTGCACAAAATACTATGTGATTCGAAGCCGTCTTTTGCGTGTGTACCTTACTAATTGTTTGATCGGCATTCCAGAAGTTGGTGAGTCAAAAATGAAACATATAAGTCTATGGATGACAACTTCTTGTTTATTGCATAGAGCGACGTTTCGATGTAGATTCTTACAACGTTATCAAGCTAAAAGTGAATACACCAGATGATGAGAGGTATATATACATAGTTGTCATCCATGAAGTTGTATGTTTCATATTTGTGTGTACCTTCCTACTGCAAGAACGTCTACCAAGTGGGACCGCAGACAGTATACGAAGCGGCTGTAATATCTACTTCAAGACTTCCATTATCACACTTTGAAGTCGAAATGCATTGATTTTCTTTTGGATGTTATTCACCTCAACGGAACATTCATATGACTAATCACATGGTCGTAGTGTTGCGTGTTGATACTGCCTGGCGGAACTCAGCTGAAACCATCACTACACAAACGCTCTGCACAACTCATAACAAACAACCACTCCAGCAAAGTAGGGTGAGTCCACAAGCCCAGGACGTGGAGTCCAGAGTCCAACAGGAGTGAAGAATAAGGTAGGTCCAGTATGTCTTTAGTAGGGTGGGTCCAGTATGTCTTTAGTAGGGTGGGTCCAGTATGTCTTTAGTAGGGTGGGTCCAGTATGTCTTTAGTAGGGTGGGTCCAGTATGTCTTTAGTAGGGTGGGTCCAGTATGTCTTTAGTAAGGTAGGTCCAGTATGTCTTTAGTAGGGTGGGTCCAGTATGTCTTTAGTAGGGTGGGTCCAGTATGTCTTTAGAAGGGTGGGTCCAGTATGTCTTTAGTAGGGTAGGTCCAGTATGTCTTTAGTAGGGTAGGTCCAGTATGTCTTTAGTAGGGTGGATCAAGTAGGACTAGAGTACTGTCTGCTAATGCCGCTACTACAGCTACTGTTACTACTACTAACTTTCAAGTGGTATTCTAGAAAACACATACACAGTATGTCAAAGGGATTCCAATATTTAAGGTAATGTTGACAAGATAACCAGTCTACAAAACATTCAATAGGCAATACCACGTTTATTCTGCCACCCAACTGTGTTAGCATTTACAAAGACAAAATCTCATTCTGTTGATCTGCGCATGCGTGACTATTCCCTCCATTTGGTGTAATCCAGATCCGGCAGATCGCGACAGGGGACCCTCGGGTTGCTGTGAAAACGTCGTGAGTGAAACGTTATGGTCAGGGTAACAATTACGTATTCAATTTCTACCAACGACTGCTACTTTGTGCAATTGCCATTACTACTACTACACTACTACTACTACTACTACTACTACTACTACTACTACTACTACTACTACTACTACTACTACTACTACTACTACTACTACTGTCCGCCTCCGTGGTGTAGTGCTTAGAGCGTCCGCCGGAGAGCGGAAGGTCGCGGGTTCGATCCCCGACCGCGTCATACCAAAAGACGTTAAAATATGGTACTTGTTGGTGGTCCCTGCCTGGCGCTCGGGATTAATGGGTACAACAAGGACTGGTCGGCTCGGAGTCAGTATAATGTGTCTGAGTGGGGTATTCATGTTTCAATGCGGCTCAGAGGGCTAGCACTATAAAACCAGCTTCAGTCTGGGCTAGTACAAGCAGCCGCACATACACATACACATGCATGCACGTCGTCATATGAGAGAAATATTCTCGAGCAAGACGTTAAGCCCAATTTCACCTCACCTCACCTCACCTCACTACTACTACTACTACTACTCTTACTACTACTACTAGTTATGCTGCTGCTAATACTACTACCACTACTGCTGCTACTACCAGAGCTGCTGCTGCTACTACTACTACCACTACCACTACTACTGCTACTACATATGTTGTTACTTCTGTTGCTGCTATTACTCTGCTAGTACTACTGCTACTGCTACTGCTGCCACTATTAGTACTACAACTGCTACTACTACAACAACTACTACTACCTCTGCTGCTGCCACGACAACTACTGCTACTGCTACTACCACTACAAGTACTCACAGGTAGGACGGCTGAAGGAAGGCGTTGGTCTGCATTTCCTGTGAGGATGTGGCATCACATAGGACGCGAGCAATGGAAAACTTCTTAATTTCCTTCACCTGATCTGAAATAAACATGAATGGTCCAATCAAGAGAGAGCTGGCGATACTTGTTGCGTTCAGCATACATATATCAGGGCTGTCTGCGTTGGCTGCCCAGTGTTGTTGTCAGTAGAAGAACGCTGTGCTAGCTTCTCAAGTACCATAAAACAATGTCAGGAGATATCTTATGAAAACCTATTGGGTGGTGTATGCACCCTGCTTAATACCATCGTCCCTGTAGTCAGGTAGACAACTGGTGATCCTTAATACCATCGTCCCTGTGGTCAGGTTGACAACTGGTGATCCTTAATACCATCGTCCCTGTGGTCAGGTTGACAACTGGTGATCCTTAATACCATCGTCCCTGTGGTCAGGTTGACAACTGGTGATCCTTAATACCATCGTCCCTGTGGTCAGGTTGACAACTTGTGATCCTTACCATCGCCATCGTCCCTGTGGTCAGGTTGACAACTGGTGATCCTTAATACCATCGTCCCTGTGGTCAGGTTGACAACTGGTGATCCTTAATACCATCGTCCCTGTGGTCAGGTTGACAACTGATCCTTAATACCATCGTCCCTGTGGTCAGGTTGACAACTCCTGATACCTCGCCCTAATACCATCGTCCCTGTGGTCAGGTTGACAACTGGTGATCCTTAATACCATCGTCCCTGTGGTCAGGTAGACAACTGGTGATCCTTAATACCATCGTCCCTGTGGTCAGGTAGACAACTGGTGATCGTCCCTGTCAGGTCTGGTGATCCTTAATACCATCGTCCCTGTGGTCAGGTTGACAACTGGTGATCCTTAATACCATCGTCCCTGTGGTCAGGTTGACAACTGGTGATCCTTAATACCATCGTCCCTGTGGTCAGGTTGACAACTGGTGATCCTTAATACCATCGTCCCTGTGGTCAGGTTGACAACTGGTGATCCTTAATACCATCGTCCCTGTGGTCAGGTTGACAACTGGTGATCCTTAATACCATCGTCCCTGTGGTCAGGTTGACAACTGGTGATCCTTAATACCATCGCCCTACCATCGTCCCTGATGGTCAGGTTGACAACTATCCTTAATACCATCGTCCTGTGGTCAGGTTGACAACTGTGATCCTTAACCACTGTCCCTGTGGTCAGGTTGACAACTGGTGATCCTTATACCATCGTCCCTGTGGTCAGGTAGACAACTGGTGATCCTTAATACCATCGTCCCTGTGGTCAGGTTGACAACTGGTGATCCTTAATACCATCGTCCCTGTGGTCAGGTTGACAACTGGTGATCCTTAATACCATCGTCCCTGTGGTCAGGTTGACAACTGGTGATCCTTAATACCATCGTCCCTGTGGTCAGGTTGACAACTGGTGATCCTTAATACCATCGTCCCTGTGGTCAGGTTGACAACTGGTGATCCTTAATACCATCGTCCCTGTGGTCAGGTTGACAACTGGTGATCCTTAATACCATCGTCCCTGTGGTCAGGTTGACAACTGGTGATCCTTAATACCATCGTCCCTGTGGTCAGGTTGACAACTGGTGATCCTTAATACCATCGCCCCTGTGGTCAGGTAGACAACTGGTGATCCTAAGTCACACCCCACATCATAAGACGACACGCTACCCTGTCTGGCTCTCTGCTTGTCTGCAATGTCTGCGACTTTTTCTTCTACCACTACCACTAGTACATCAACGTCGTTACGGTCACCAGACGTGAACATTATACTATGCAGTACACAACGACAGTGGAATTACTTACCAAGTGTGAAACCAGTATAACGGTCCTGGGTCTCGTACCAGTAGCGGTCACCGTACTTGATCCTCCGGAACTGCTCGGCGATGATGCAGGCGAACGTTGGTCCAACCATACCTCCAGCAACAGGGTTCTCGGAGATTCCACCCGTGAAAAGGTCAAGGTCGTCGATGTTGCTGGAAGATATTATACATGAGATTTAAGATTGACTTTGTTGGCCACCATAAGATTGTAAAGGGTAGTGGGTAGCTAAGTGGCTGAAAATCATTCGCCTTGTTTTGTTTGTTTATTGTTACTTCCAGCAAGAGTCCAGCTTTAAGACCACTGTCTGTCAAAAACCGACCAAAATATTTAATGAGTATCCATGTTAAGCATCCATCTACTCAACTGAGATACAATGAAATTATTATTATTTATTATTATTATTATTATTGGATATTTATATAGCGCACATATCCAGGCAACTAGTGCATGCTTAAGGCGCTGGTAGTTGTTCCCTCGATCATTGGATGTCAAGCTCAACTTCACATCGTATTTTCAATCTCAACTCCCTGGGGAGTATACAACTCTTGCAGCCACTAGGCGCACCGAGTTAGTGTGGCTTTCCCATCCGTGCGAGGTACCCATTCACAGCTGGGTGGACTGGGACACATAGTCACAGTACTTTGTCCAAATTCACTGCACGTTGCTGTACCCGCAACTAGGTGTATTCATGTGGCCACCATCTGGTCATATACCAACGGGGTCGTGGGTTCTTTTAAGTGCACATGGTAGTGTACTGAACACTAGGGGTTGTGACAACGCTGAAAGAGTCTGCACACAGAGTTGACTCAAAGGTTTTTACACCCGGTCACAGGTGGGCTCGATCCCGACACCTCAACCCGCTGGATCACTAGCCTTGCGCCTTAGCCAGCTCGCCAACTGCGCCCCTAAGCCTGAAATGCATTAATTGCAGTAGACTAATTCTTAATCAGACCTTCAAAGGTAGGAATATATATGAAGTTGTTAAAAACGAAACGGGACTTTCCAGACTATCGGCCTGAGGAGATATTAATGGGGGAACGACATTCAAAACAAATGCTTTACCCATAAGCTTTAGACAGGAGTTTAGCTTTTTCAGGGAAGTTGATCTTCAGAGTGGAGTAGTCCTGTAGTGCGGGGATTCCGCAGGCCTTCCTGAAGTCGTTGTACGGGGGGAGACCGTGGTCACGGCCCCTCTGGATGTTCAGTGACGTCAGATCCAGACTTTTGTTGTTGAAGTCCTCAAACAGTCGGTCAGTGAGGTCTGTTGCGAAGAAATGGTCTGGATGTTGAAGCGGGTCTCCCACAAGACCACGACAGATGAGGTTCACGCCATCCCCGTCATTCTGAAGAATGAACTTGGGTCGATTGAACATGTTTCTCAGAAGCTCCCGACGGCCACCCATCGAAAATTTGCTGGGAACTAAAGAGTGTCCAAATCTAAAGGCTGCAGTAGCAAAAGCATTCATAATGGTGGGATTCATGCTTGAATCATAGTACCAGATGTTGGATCCGTAGGGTTGGAAGTCAGCACTTCCCGAGACGGTGAGACCATACTCTTTCATGTATGTCCTGCCCAACAGGATGGGCAGCCACTCGTAGTAGGTGACATGCTGGTGCAATGCCCCAAGGATCTTCCTGGCCTCTCGGTAAAGTCGCTCGTCCTCCCAGTGGGGGTTGATTCTCTTCAAGGTAAGGGTAAGCATGTTGTGGTAACGATGGAACGCTGTGTGGAGAGCCGTGAGGGCTGGTTGTTCGTTCACTCTCTCGTCACCTGGAAATTTGGTGTTCTACATTAGTTATCAATACGTTTTTCATATGTTTTTCCGTTCAGTGCCAACTAGTTTGGCATTACATTTTTCTGAACCCTAGATGAAACTAGACACGAACATCTGCTTGCTGATTGACCGTATTATTGTATCTGTTAGGGACCACAGAACACCTGCCACCTATCTTAGGACCACAGAACACCTGCCACCTATCTTAGGACCACAGAACACCTGCCACCTATCTTAGGGCGAAGGGCGGTTAAAGCATTCGCTCGTCTCGGGTTTGATTCCCCACATTTCTGGTGTCCCCCGCCGTGATATTGCTGGAAAATTGCTAAATGCGGCTAAAATTCACTCACTCTTAGGGCGAGAAGTGCAGAACACCTGCCTGCCACCTATCTTAGGGCAAGAAGTGCAGAATATGCCGCTCGACAGGCTTAGGGCGAGAAAAGGCACCAGGCTATGGGTCGGTAACCCGGATGTAACACTTTGGTGGAAGGCGGCGTGAGGCAAGATGCACGGTTTGTTGACCTTAGCGGCATACTCACCAGCCTTGAAGCAGTAGTCGTCCAGGTTGTCCTTGACGCAGGTGGCGTTGACGTCCTCGGGGAGGAGATTCTTATCCGTAACCTTCATCTGTCCTGATAATGCATTTTGAATAATTAGCCGCCACCTGGTAAACACTGCAACTTCCAGCAGTTTAAAAAATAATACATATCAAGTAGTGTATGTAGGGTATGTAGGGTATGTAGGGTATGTTACGAGGGTCGTATAATGAATCCGAAGAAATCAGATTTGCTTTGTCGCAGATTATAATTGTAGCCGGAACCTGGAATTCGAACCCACACATAGTATTTCACCACGTGACTACACCAGGGATTGCCATACTATATTGGTATAAGAGGTCGGGTGGTCAGGCTTGGTTGACACATGCCACCGTATTCCAATTGCGTGGATCGATGCTCTTGCTATTGATCACTTGGTTCTCTGGTCCAGAATCGATTATTTACAGACCGCCGCCATATAGCTGGAATACTGCTGAATGCGGCTTAAAACTAAACTCACTCACTCCTCATGTACCTATGTTCCCGTGTTTCTTCAGGCGAACAGTTCACTTGCCTGTAAGTGTTTGTGAGTGTTATGTGAGTGTTTGTGAGTGTTATGTGAGTGTTATGTGAGTGTTATGTGAGTGTTATGTGAGTGCGGCGTTAAACAACAACCAAGCAACCAACTCACCCAGGTGGTATGTTCTGATGTCCCTCATCTCCTTGAAGCTGGAGCCGTACACTTGGGAGGCATCAATGAAAGCGGTGATCATGTTCATCTGTTCCCTGATCCCTGTGACATAACATCCGGGATATTTTACTTCATGTTCCTCATGTTGTTACGAACAGAAACATATTATGACTATATTATATCTCCTATAATTAAAAACTGTTAATCAAACATCACTCTATCTCTTCAAGTGAACCATGAAAAATTGGCAGAATGTACATATCATTCTCGGTTATGCGACGAAGTCATGTGAACATTAATGTCTCAAACATCAAGCGTGTATATATTAGAACAGGTATTTTATACCACGTGTAAATAACGGTGTAATATTGTGTAGTGAATATAGTTGTTATTTCAGATAATACAGTCAGTGTAACCTGTTTGGCCAGTTTGTCACATGTTTATGCTCTGATCATACCTGCCTGGTACCCATCTACCTGTGTAGTGGTGTTTCCATAGCGACCCCACTACCTGACTCTCCCTAGACTTATGCTTAGTCTCTGAATATATATAATTTTGATAGTAACAAATAAACCCATTTGAATTGAAAAGGAGCCTCGGGGATTCAGAACCTCACTGGATTCCTGAACCTGAGGAAATCTAGACTTCCTCTATTTGGAGCTTTAGCACTGCAGAGAGGGCTAGGCAGTAGGGAAAATAATGTGGTTCAGGGACTGTGAGACAGACTAGACTCTCCCACTATCTCATGAAAAGTTAATTTATCGGATGTCAATGTTTATATTCGTGCTATTCCACTCGGGAATGAAACCGAAGCTATGGCGGCAAAATGTTTCGTAACACAACGATTGTAACATCGAAGGTGTGTCACGTGGTAGATGAAAGAGAGACAGTTGTTTTGCGACTCAATATTTTCCAAGATAACTTGGTATTAACAGTGGCACGATAAAGCAACGGCCAGTCATATACATATGTACACATGGAAACAAACAGATACTGAAGTGAACAACGAGGTGAGTTCTATGTCTGTACAACTTCTTTATTATTGATATAAGCAAGTGCTTGATAACGGTGTTAGTAGCTACACTGAAACGTCGCTCATACAAAGAAGTTGTACATCCATAGAACTCCCCTCCTTGTTCATCACACTAGCCTTTGAAAGCTACGCAAATACATTAGTAAAGCAATATTTGACGTGATACCTTCTCCACACATGAGTTTCCTGGGTTCCGGCTGGGAGCGGGCAAAGTTCATGCAAGTCCGGTCAAAGTGGCGATCACCCGGGGAATGTAGATTGGGAAACAAGGCTTCCTAGAAGTATCGAACATATCATAGTACTACACATTACACGCTACTTAAGTATCGAAGCGGAAAAATGGACGGTCCACCTCTATGATTTATGCAAAGAAAATAGGAAATACTCAACAAGAACCCCCAAAACATGTCCCCTCGCATTACCGGCCAACCTGATGAAACACCTCTCCTCATGGCAGAACGGCTGTCATGACAGGTATATTGGCTTTGGTTGGTTTGGTGTTTTACGCCGCACTCAGCAATATTCCAGCTATATGGCGGCGGTCTGTAAATATTGGAGTCTGGACCAGACAATCCAGTGATCAACAGCATGAGCATCGATTTACGCAACTGATATACGATGACATGTGTCAACCGATTCCGTTAGTCGTCTTTTAAGACATGCATGTGTTGCTGAAGACCAGTTCTAACCCGAATCTTCACGGGTACAGGTAAACTTGAAACACCTGTTATTTTGCCAAATTACATAATGACCTCTGTCATTCTGCGAAAACATGTACGATAATAGTCGTGTGAGTGTACATTGACCTACCCTTGAAACACATCAGGGTGGTGGGGGTTGTCATCAGAGAGCCTGACATTGTTGCAACATTTAAGGTCTTTCCCACTGGTAGCTGTAATACAAATGGCTTATCAAAGAAATGTGATCGAAATTTGTTAGAGGCAACATATCTGTTCACTATTTCAAGAAAAGATATTTTTAGATCAAAGCACATGAGTCAGTATTAGTTTTTCCAATACATGTTCTGGAACAAATGTTTTCTCTATTTTGAAAAAGGTCGCCGATGAGTATTAACTGTTGTGTATCTTCAAGGGTCTATCTCAACCCTGTCTCAGCGTTACCCTTAGTATCCTAATTATTCCTCGTACAAGCACCTGCTGTAATATTCATTGATATACTAATATAGATGGAATATATGATTTGAAAAGGGTGAAATTTGTTTTCAGTTTTTAAATATAGCACTGCGTCAGAATATTGGTAACTGAGATTCTTTACAAGAGAAAACAGTGAATATTTTCGTCTAGTACTTTTGGAGACTGGTGTGCCGGTCATATCGTGGTCAGTGAACTGTCCCCACTGCATAAACAGGTTGCTGATGTCGGGAAGGTGCTTGTCGTCGCCGTCGTCGGGGAGCAGCATCTGGCGGCTGACGTAGCGGGGGGGGTGGGGAGGAGTGGGTAGCGTCCAGTGTTCGGGTCCTTCACACGACTGTACATCCGAGGGAGAGATGTTCCTGGAACCCACAACGTTCTCCGAAATATCACAAATAACTTCAACAAAAATGACACCAATAACATTACGGAAACGTCAAAATAAACAACAACATGAACATCAATCGCATCGTCAACATCATCAACAGTAAGTCCCATGTATATAAATGAACAATTTTCGTCACCCTGATTGCGTGTTCGAAACAAGGACCAACAGGTTCCGACAGTCTGTTATGTCCAGGGGCGTAGGGGTAGCCTTGTGGTTAAAGCGTTCGCTCGTCACGCCGAACACACGGTTTCGATTCCCCACATGGGTACAATGAGTGAAGCCCATTTCTGGTGTCCACCGAAGTGATATTGATGGAATATTGCTAAAACCAGCATAAACCAAACTCACTCACTCACTTTTATGACCAGGTAATATCAAAGTTTGGTGTGCATGTTTCAGCGTGTAATGGCTGAATTAATTACCTGCTAACATTTAATCTAAGTTTCTGTCAGGCCCAGGGAGCATAACTCTGCTCAATAACGGGACTTTACCCACTTGGATTACCCCTGCCACCTTGATACAGACTGAAGGGTCCTACTCACCATCAGCATAGACGGGATTGAGGAACCTGGCTACGGGCTGCATTGTTGCCCCCCACTTGGGCTGGGCGAGGTTATTGCAGTGACCGTCATAGGTTCTGAACTTGGCTAGGCGGTCACACTGGATTGGCCTGTCTGAGCAGCTGATCTTCACCTGGGGTTTGAATCCACTGTCAGAATCTTTGAAGAAGTTAACTTTGTCGTTTGTGGAGACGAAACTGCCTTGGAAGGGATCGTTGTGGAAAGGATCGGGACCGAAAGATGCCTTTTCATCAAAACTTGGCACAGGACCAAATCCTGGAGCCCTGAAATCATGGAATGTTGGGAGAAGTTATCTTTCCATTCGGACATTTACACATATTCAGGATGAACTGTATTCATACAAGTGAGTTGAACCTGTATACATGGAAGGTTCCCCAAAAGGGAAGACACGGTCCAGGGTTAATTCGTTGTTGTTTGATGGAACACCTGTCGATTTTAACACATACAGACCTTATGGACGGCAATCTGGAAGTTGTGGTTCCTTGCAATCTCTGGATTGACGCCATCGTTATGTTGCACTTTAGCTACATGCCATTTACAGGGGTACCGCTTATTGCGTCGCAAGGGCAACAACTTATTAATTTATACAATTGTGAGCGTCTTGTGCAACGCCTGGTGTTATTATTGATTTCCAATGCAAATATTTGTCACCGTTATTTTGTATTTTCCACACAGTGAAATCTGTTTCCATAGAGAGTTGAGCTGTCTAGGCGATGACGTTATGAATTCGACAAATATTGGAATGAATCAAGTCCCACTCACTGTCGCTTAAAGATCCGATGTCCGAAGTTCAGGCCACCAAATCCAAATGGGGATGTGAAAAGATCGTTCATCTTCTCGAACTGGCCACCTAGTCCATATCCCAGTTTGGTGGATCTCATAGCAGCAATCTCGGACATACGGTCATGGCCGATTATGTTTCCTTGGTAACAAAAATAGGAAGTTGACAAAGAGTAGATTTATCACAATGGCAATAAACAAACTAATATCACCATGACACGTGAAATATTACAGATTTAAACACATCTTGACGTTTTTACTAATATGAGAAGTCTGGTGTTTTGAAAGGCCCGAAAAACACCACAGTGTATTGTGACCGGAAGTAGTGACATTATCACACAAACAATGAATTCAGTCTTACTACATTCCACGTGTATTTCGAGGATTTGACAATGGCCACGCTCACAAAACTAGAGGAGAAGTTAATGTGACAATATAAAAAGCCATTACTCACCAAACTGGTCATTGGGAGTTTCAATATAATCATCATAATAATCAGCTGCGGCGACACACAGACAAAAGGCAGCAAGGATGTATGTCACTGCTGGGAACGCCATGGCTGAAAACACGCAGGTTAACAAAATCAGAAAATATGAAAGAGTTTTGATTGGCATTTAGAAGTTGTTAGGGCAATACAACAAACTTGATATGGAAGTGCAACTTCTTCATTATTTACATACAACGTTTCTAGTTTATTATTTACATACACACGACGTTTCTGGTTTATTATTTACACACGACGTTTCTGGTTTATTATTTACACACGACGATTCTGGTTTATTATTTACACACGACGATTCTGGTTTATTATTTACACACGACGATTCTGGTTTATTATTTACACAAGACGTTTCTGGTTTATTATTTACACACGACGTTTCTGGTTTATTATTTACACGACGTTTCTGGTTTATTATTTACACACGACGTTTCTGGTTTATTATTTCTGGTTTATTATTTACACACGACTGGTTTATTATTTACATACGACGTTTCTGGTTTATTATTTACATACGACGTTTCTGGTTTTTATTATTTACATACGACGATTTCTGGTTTATTATTTACACACGACGTTTCTGGTTTATTATTTACACACGACGTTTCTGGTTTATTATTTACACGACGTTTCTGGTTTATTATTTACACACGACGTTTCTGGTTTATTATTTACACACGACGTTTCTGGTTTATTATTTACACACGACGATTCTGGTTTATTATTTACACACGACGATTCTGGTTTATTATTTACGACGTTTCTGGTTTATTATTTACACACGACGACGACGATTCTGGTTTATTATTTACACACGACGATTCTGGTTTATTATTTACATACGACGTTTCTGGTTTATTATTTACACACGACGATTTACACACGACGTTTCTGGTTTATTATTTACACGACGTTTCTGGTTTATTATTTATTATTTTCACACACGACGATTCTGGTTTATTATTTACACACGACGATTCTGGTTTATTATTTACACACGACGATTCTGGTTTATTATTTACACACGACGTTTCTGGTTTATTATTTACACACGACGTTTCTGGTTTATTATTTACACACGACGTTTCTGGTTTATTATTTACATACGTTGTTTCTGGTTTATTATTTACACACGACGATTCTGGTTTATTATTTACACACGACGATTCTGGTTTATTATTTACACACGACGATTCTGGTTTATTATTTACACACGACGATTCTGGTTTATTATTTACACACGACGATTCTGGTTTATTATTTACATACGACGTTTCTGGTTTATTATTTACACACGACGTTTCTGGTTTATTATTTACATACGACGATTCTGGTTTATTATTTACATTTACACACGACGATTCTGGTTTATTATTTACACACGACGTTTCTGGTTTATTATTTACACACGACGATTCTGGTTTATTATTTACATACGACGATTCTGGTTTATTATTTACATACGACGTTTCTGGTTTATTATTTACACACGACGATTCTGGTTTATTATTTACATACGACGTTTCTGGTTTATTATTTACACACGACGTTTCTGGTTTATTATTTACATACGACGTTTCTGGTTTATTATTTACATACGACGTTTCTGGTTTATTATTTACACACGACGTTTCTGGTTTATTATTTACATACGACGTTTCTGGTTTATTATTTACACACGACGTTTCTGGATTTATTATTTACATACGACGTTTCTGGTTTATTATTTACACACGACGTTTCTGGTTTATTATTTACACACGACGTTTCTGGGTTTATTATTTACACACGACGTTTCTGACGTTTCTGGTTTATTATTTACACGATTCGACGACGTTTCTGGTTTATTATTTACACGTTTCTGGTTTATTATTTACACGACGATTCTGGTTTATTATTTACATACGACGTTTCTGTTTCTGGTTTATTATTTACATACGACGTTTCTGGGTTTATTATTTATACAAGACGTTTCTGGTTTATTATTTACACGACGTTTCTGGTTTATTATTTTTACACACGACGTTTCTGGTTTATTATTTACGACGACGTTTCTGGTTTATTATTTACACACGACGATTCTGGTTTATTATTTACATACGACGTTTCATTCTCCTGATGAAGGGGCAAGTATCAGAGCAGAAACGTCGCCTGTATACAATAGAGAAGTTTCATATCCATATCAAGTGTGTTGTATCAGTAAATCTTAGTTGAAGAATCATTTGATATGTGTGTGACATGTTTGAAACCATTCATCCGTTGACAACGGTATCAATAATCAACACAATATTTCTATTGATCAATACAGACGGTTGTACACACTGCGTTGAAATATTCTTTCCTGTGACGTACATTGTACAAG